TTTACAGGGTGTCCTATTCCAGGAGCTTGGCTCGAGGCTAGACAAGATGCACGCGTTTTCCCGTAGATTTTAGCGGCGGCAATTATGAATGAACACATCGGCCATTACAAACAGCAAGAACCCATTACCTCGATGGTATTTTAATACAGTAATTTATTGTTAATGTGAATTCGCATGCGACCGGATAATATTCAAGCGTCCCGCCGCGCTCGATTGTCAACCGCCACGCCAAAATATCGAATAAATTCTTTTTGGAGAGGTTTTCGCTAAATTAATTGGGTGTAAGCGGGAGGAGGAGGACGTCATGGTCGGGTCCGCTGGTGAAATACCAAACCATTGTCCAGCCACCTACACGCGAGCGGCAAACTTGTTTATTTCAAAACAGAGTTCATTCCAGCCATTCGACGACTAGATAACGATATCGAGAACACAACGTTTCGACCAAAAGTAAAAGAAAATGTGTTCCGTCAACGTCGGCCCGAAGAATTCACACCTATCTGGTGCCGAACGAAATTAACATGTCACAAGAAAACCAAAAAATACGAAACGGCCAGATCGCCGAGGCCTGTCATAACACATTTCCAGATCAATTAGTCTGAAGGCGCGTATTTTGACAGGCATTGTGGATCGCACTCAAAATTCGACCTGTCAACAATACGTTTAATTAAAAACCATCCGCTTTTTATTGTTATTATCGGCGATTTTGGCGAATTTTTTCGTGATGGGAGTGCGCCGTTCCGTAATATTTATACATCAATTAATCAAATACGGTTTTTGTTTTGTTAATTTAAACCTTAATCAAAAGATAGTATCAGCGGGACACTCGTTAAAACTTCGTGGCGATTACAGCTCCTTAATAATAGCTCGCTGAAAATCGACTCTATTACGGTATTACCGATTTAATTTCGGCGATTTCTTAAAATCCAATTATAAGAGTCGACCGGGTTCGCCCGCTACAGATGTGTGGGCAGCAGGAATGTGAAGAACCAGGAAATGGATCAGCAGGACTCGTGAAAAATTTCGAAAAGCGCACACGTGCAGGAATTTTCCCATCGTCCATCAAATTCAGATAGCACTCTTTAGCACCGTTTCGATTAATTTCGCGGTTGGCCAGTGCATTATGTTAATTTTTCTCACAACATATTAATGGAACTGGATATTTTAATCTACATAAGGAGATTACTGGAATTAAACTATTTTAATAATCTCCAAGTTTCCGTGTCTCGGAATGCCGGAATTACCATAATCCAGCTACCTACTACTGGCAAATTTTTCCAATCGTCAAAATTTCATTTCTTGGTGTTTTGGTGTTGATCCGGCGGCGCATAAAGGATGATCGATCGAAAATAATTCCCTGATAATGAGGATGACAGTTTTTGGGCGTCATTCATTACCCGAAGACAGGCCAACATGTCTGGTGAGCGCGACTGTCGCGTCCGGACCCGATCAATTTTCGTAAATGATTTTTATTTTGGTCTCTGGTCTTCTTTATATGTCGCCGCCTTGTTTTGACTCGATCTCAACGCGCCAAGATCAACAAAATTTCATAAATCTTTGAAAAAACGGGAGTTGCTACAGTTAGCTGGACACAATCAACGAAATTAATTATCAGCATTGTGTGACCATCTGGCAGTCTCGTAAATCTAGCTCGAAGGACCAATCCAATTATCGTAAATACCACCACACTTAACACCGGATCGCCGATTGTAAGTCATCTTTGTGCGGCCAGAGGGCCTTCTCTGATGTCCCCTCTTTCTCAACGAAAGTGTTTCGCTGCTATCTTCACAAAATATCTCTTACTTCTCGCGCCATTGTCACGAATCGTTCAATTGCCTGGCACGACTCAACTTCTTCGCGGCCGGTTACAAGAATTCCAACTTTATCAACCTCACTTTGTTTGTCATTAAGATCTCGACGATGGATCCGGACTTTCTAGCTCCCGGAATACCGATCCCGGAATTTTTTTAAATCATAGATTACTCTCTAATACTCGTAAATCAAACCGACATCGACGTACAAATATAATCACTTAGACGGAGTTATTTCTTCTTATAATATCAATAAACATCAAACGACCAACTATTTACCGAGGTATTTGCCATCGTATATTTACGATGCTGAAATGTCAAAGGAAAACTGGACACGTCTTGGGTTTTACAGCCGTTTTATTGGGCCACGAAGTTTATCTAAAGGACAACATCTTTTAAGCCCATCAAAAGACTTATTTCTCAAAACTGTTTTTTTTTTATTTTTTGTTCTATTTAACACTTAAAGAAACAAATGTCTACTTTGTAGGTCCACATTTAACCTAAATAAAACCGTCGTTAATAGCTGCTTACTAGATTTTATTTTCTCTTTGCATTGTTAATACATTTATAGTCACTCAGTAAATAAATCATAATAAATTCAAAAAAAAAATAGATTTAAGAAATTTTTACGCAACATTTGTTGGAAACAAAATTTGAGTGATTCCACAGGATGCGGTCATATGAAAAATTTCTGAGAGATGTTTCTTTTTATTTCATGTATCTTGAATTAAGAATAAATATCCATGCTTTCTTCCTATCACATCTAGTTTTTCTACAAAATTAAAAACACGTTTATGATAAATTTTTGAAGATTAAATCAATTATTATATTAAATCATCAGTTAACTTGAAAGAGTTATTGTTAAAACGTGACAAGCTACATAATCAAATTGTTGAGAAATAGGACTTTGAAGTTTCAGAAAAATCTATAAAATGTATATCTTGATATTATAATTCCTAGGTTTTTTGACAAGAGCAGTAACTCAGACAGTAACCTCCACAAGTTTTTTGGAAAATACCCAAACTCGTGACTGTGTGGCTTGTCATATTCTTGATGATTACCATCGAGTAAAAATGTCATTTTAAAAAAATGTGTGGCTTGTCAATATATTTTTTCAAATATTGTCAAGGAAAATATCAATTTCAAATATTTGTATTACACTTTTTCTGAGTGATATCTTTTGCGTTCGTTGAAAAAATTACGCCTGAAAGCATTTTTATGGACTGATTTTTAGACTTATTGAAGACATTTTGAAACTGAATATTATTCAGACATAAAACACTGGTACAGTCCAGTAATGGCAAATTTAATGTATTTCAACAGAAAAACAATCCAAATTTCCGTTTTCAGACAAAATAATACGAATTAAGCAATTTCCAAACGGTTTGGTTCAATTTAAAGCCAGAAAAACTTGTAAACCAATGTAGGTATTTCAACAAAATACGTATTTAAATAGCCATTTTCGGCCCCTATAATACAATTTACGCAACTTCCAATCGATTATGCTTGATTTTAAGCCAGAAGTCAATGTATTTCAACAAAATAAATGCTTAAATAACAGGTTTCTTCCAAAATAAAGCAATCTGAACTATTTCCAACTTAATTTTGCTAGATTTTACTACAGAAATCAGTCTAAATCAAAATATTTTATAAAAATAATTTCTTCAATCTCAGTTGCTAAAATGAAGTAATTTGTGCTATTTTCAATCGATTTAGCTCTAAGTCAAAAATCAACTTGAATCAAAGCATTTTAACAAATTAAATACTTAAATAACAGTATCAATAAGGAATACAGAGTGTTAAAAAAGATTGTAAAATATACAGCAGGTAATAGTATGGATCAAAATAAACAAAAAAATCTTAATAAACATGGGTCCGCAAAGTAACGGTTTTGGTGATATCAAATGAGAAAATTTTGCCAATATTGCCAATAAATGTTTCAAAAAATTAATAATTTTCGATATCTTCGAAACTGTTACTTTGCAAACCCATGCTTATTAAAACTTTTTTGTTTTACCTCCTGAAATATTTTACAATCTTTTTTAACACTCCGTAAAATTATGGCATGACTTCTATCACTTTTCATAATGTTCTTTTCTTACTTCTTGGCTTTAATTTTTTTAGTAGGGTTCAGTTGTAACACAGATTCTTTTTTTACATAGAAATCAAATGTTTTCGACCTATTTCACCTCAGAAAAAGCAGTTGCGATGTTGCCAGTGAGGCAATGGCTGTGAAACGAGTATCATAACCAAATTCAATATCTTAAACCCCAAAAGTCATGTCGACCTGCGTTTTTAGTGGAATTTTCTAACTTTTATTTTGTGATGTCAAGGAACAACTCTTTAAATTGTCAATTTCGACTCATTTGATCATTTCTTTTCAATTTTAATATGTCATTTGAAGTTACAAAATAGAATGTTTTATTTTGAGGAACAAGCTTTATTATCATTTTTTCAAACTGTAATTCTGTCTCGAGAAACTTCTCGAGCTGCCAAAAGGGTTTTCATATTTCCTTTGAATGTTATGAGTCAGCCGAATCCGCTAACGAATGATCTGACGCCCCTTGACTCCGGTGTTTCTCCCTTCGTCACGTAATAACACTCCAGGTGGGCCTGGTGCATCGCCTTCATGGCAGTAGAGTTGGAAGGTGATGGCAATATCGCGATAAGGTGTTTCTATTAGCAAGCTCTAACATTGTTCACAGATTGAAAACGATGACTGTACAGAACCGTTGTGGTGTGTATATATTTTTTTTCGGGTAATTGATTGTAATGTTGGCGGGTGTGGCGCGATCCGGGACGTGTAAGAAGAAGAAAAACGCCGAAATTCCACAACGTTGCCCCTTATCTAAACAAGTTAGGGCACTTAGGCCGCGGCATCGTGTGTCGGACGGTGATAGGTAAACAAGGTGAAAGGAATTGAGATGTGACCGCTCCCTTTGAGCTCACGATCGATCAAAACGACACCTCGTATCCCAAAAATCCACAGAAAAACTCGAGTAAAGGATCTCTGGGAAACGGCCTTCAAGAGATAACTTTATTAGTGGATGAGTGAGAGCGATATGAACTAGAGCCGTTCTGTACCCACACAAGTCACGGATTTCAAACAGGTCGTTGACAGAAGGAAATTAGGAAACTCATACTCGTAAAAGTACGAGGATATAAACAAATTTTAATTGACAAGTCTACATTTCATTGATCGGTTTTTATTATTTTCATTAAAAAAATACAATTTCTATAAATAAAAAACAATATCACAATGCGGAAGCACGTAATGTACGGCTTCTGTAACGTTATCTGCAGAACCACTAATATCTTGCCTAACCAAGTGTCTTTCATGCGGTTAAAACCTTCACACGTCATTAAATCAATCAAATGCCAAACTCACTCTTCTTACACTCTTTCTCACTTGTGTCACTCCCATCAGCAATCAAGAACTGTTGGATTTCTTCTAAAGTCTTGCCTTTAGTCTCAGGTACAAACTTGATGATGAAGATTAATCCGACAGCTGAACACGTCGCAAAGAACCAAAAAGGCACGTACATTCCAAATTCGTCTTTGGTGAATTGGAAAAATTTCGACGCCACTGCTCCCATACTAACCGAAAAGGTATCAGCAGTGCCCAAAGCGACGGCTTTAACATTTGTTGGAAATAATTCACTTAGTACTGAAACCGCACCGAAAGCCAATCCAATACTAAACAAGACGTTATAAGACACCAGAGATGTAATCGGTAACCAATCAAAAGTTTCAACAAAGTCGGGATACCAATCTTTGATGAAGAAATACGTAGCAAGGAAAAACACGGAAATGCTACAACCAGCTGTTGATGTAATCAAAAGTGGCCTTTTTCCGAATTTATCCACGACGAAAATGGCCACTAAAGTTGCAATTAATTCGACAGAACAGTAGATAATTACGGACAATTCCGAATCAATGCGACTTCCAGCCTCTTCAAAAATCATCGTAGTGTAAAACAGACACGGATTTTTGCCGCTAAACTTGTTAGTTAGGCAAATAATGACATAAATGAAACAAGCTCTCCTATTGCTCGGAACAGTGAAAAGATCCGTTACTTTGGCCTTTTTGCTTTGTTCTTGTCTCGTTACGGCTTTACACAATAAATCCAATTCATCTTCAACATCTTCAGTTCCTCGCAATATTTTTAAACTTTTCTCAGCATCCGCCACTTTGTGTTTCTTGATGTAATAATACGGAGATTCCGGCATCCAAACGAAAGTTGCGAAATGAACCAAGGGAACAAGAGCGCAAATTAGCGACGATGTGAAAATCGAATATTTCTGGCCAATAATATTAATAAAAAGTGTACCAGCGATTCCTGCAATTGTCGGTGTCGATGCCAAAAATCCACGAATTTTAGGATCAGAAATTTCACCAATGTACATAGGTAAAGCGGTGTAAAGGGCACCTTCAGTTGCCCCAATTATAAATCTGATGCCGGAGATAACCCAAATGTTGTTGGCATAAGCAGTCCAGATGAACGAAAAGAAAATTATTGGAGTCATAAGCAGCGTCGTGTTTTTTCTGCCGATTATGTCAACCAACACTGCGGCAAGGAGTGCTCCGACTGGAGCTCCCAAAAGGGGCATAACGGCACACCAAGAGCCTGCATCACTAGTCGTGGGAATAGTAGAGTTGGCACTGAGAAGTTGAGGCAAATAGGGAGATGTCCATCCCAAATTAATCCCAGAAGTTATAATAGAAAAAGTTCCTAAAATTATTAATTAGTTTCGCTTTATTGAGGACGCCTCAAAACGTACCAGAAAAGGTGGCTAAATATTGGAAAAGGTTTCCGTGGCTGTGTGAAAAACGCATGGCTTGCTTGACTATACGAAATTAAGGAAATTGTAGCGATCGAAGTCTTTAAAAGGAACCGGGAAGTCAACAGATATTAACTATGCAAACATTACTAATCTCTCTATAAATTAATGACGTTTGTTTGCAAAATTAATTCCTAAGATCATAGGATTTACTTAAATCCTTGTTAAACAGAGTAATTCCTTGATAAACAACTGAGTAAAACAAAATATTTACAGGTGGTTTAGTAGCGATTCTATTTTTGGCTTTAGGTCATTGGGGTTAAAAGTAGATGTTATTTTACAAAAGCAAATTATTATCATCATGTCCGGTCAACTAACGCTTTCCATATTTGACCGATTATTTATACCAAGGGGCAATCGTGGTCTTGTAACTGGGTCAGTGAGGAGGAAGAGTTAAAGTTTCTCAAAAAATGTGACCAAATTAGGTAGAAACTTATCATGACGACAGAGTGGAAAATTTTCTGCAATAACCCTTTACAAATATTTGTATTTTTGTCTTGGGGCTTATTTAAAATTGTTATTGTGACCTATTTTTAGTCGGAAACAATAGAAATATGATGGTAATGGAAGAAATGTGTTTGTGGATTAGGGAATATTGTATTGCGTCAAATACATTTTCCAGAAATAATCTTATTGCGTTTCGGGTGGTCTAAATTCTTGTCGCTTAATTGTTGTTGTTTGGCGTTGCGATTTTCTGAAGAAGCAGGTTTAGGAATTGCGTATTTTTTGACGGTGATCTTCACAGTTTCATCCGCGATCGCATTTCAGAGTATCCACTTCTGTAATTGTTATGTGCCATAAAAAGCTGCACGGACATGTTGTCTTCCATCCGAGAGCTCCATTCGTAATTGTGTAAACCAGCTGTGCTAATTCGCTGCAAATGACTTAATCTGCACATTTCTCCGAAACACCGGTGAAACTACCAGTGACATTTTAGATCAAATTCTTGATTATTTGACGAGTTTTCGTCGAAAACGTCGAGATTTGCGAAAAAATCCAACTCGTACGGCGGATAATTAGTTTTGACGTTTGTTGACGAGCATACTAAAAAAACTCATACATAAATGGATCAATTACGCAACTCGAGGATTAGTTATTAAAACAATAATGGTAGCGATGAGTGCTCCGTCCTTGTCCAACAAGTGTGCACTTTGTGGTACATTACCATTACAAGTGTTAGACTCCGGACGAGTCTTTTTCTCATGTCCGCAACTTTATACAAGTTGAGTTTTTAAACTGTAATTGCGGAGTTTACTGGTTCGAGCATACGGCATTTGTCGAGGTGGTCTCAGGGATTGATTTATCGCGTATGCTATGCGCAATTATTCCGTAATTAACTTCGATCGACAAGTTTTTTTTCCAGTAGAAAATTTTCTTTATAAAATTAATAACACACCGTCATTAGTATTCTCACTATTTGTTCATGTACTATTATGCATAAGTTTTTTTACTGAATATCTAATCGACTTTTTCCAAGTAAAACAAACAAGTCGATCCCGCAGACATGACACATGAAGACCCTAATTAGGCGCTGAATACGGACAGACGCTCATTAGGATGCAGAAGGACATTATCTCGGACCCGAAACGGCTCTATCACCCAAGTACCGAAAGCAATACAGATCCGAACCATAAATTATCGTAGACGTCACATTCTGATTAGGCCTACCAGAAACGCACTCGACTTGCCGCGTCAACAGTCGAATCGATTTCGCTATCGCCACCATCGCCATTTATCGAAAACTGTCCATCGAATTCCGATGAAAGATGTCAACCGAAAGATACAAGCACGCCCACCGATAGACCCAAGAATTTTGACCTCGCTTTCATTCAATGCAAAACCACTAGCACAATCTCCAAATTCACTCAGGCGCTTCTCCATGACGATATATCCAAAACCACTTTCTGGATCGGTGTCACCACGTCTATTAATGAAACTGTTAATTTTTTGCAACTAATGCCCACTAAAGAAGTTCCTCGTTAGAGGCAGGTTGAAGACGTGGAAAACTATAGTTGTTTAAGCAGCAAATCTAGAAGTAGATATAAAACTGTTTTTTTTTTCAAAAATCGGTGATGTCAATAACAAAAAATTCTACCACTCGTATCTGCCTAAGACCTCTTTTTATTAGTATTGAACTATAAACCCTTTTAATGTCGCACACACAGAAAAAAATTTAAGTTGTACAGTGGCAATTACACGAAAAATTTCCGAAGTCTAAAAACTCTTTTCTTACTGCTGGATCAAGAATTTTATTCCGCTTGGAACTAATAACCAGTGCTGAGACTAGGCATTAATTGATTATAAACGAGTTTCAGTTTTGCGCCCTTAAGTAGAATTTTTTTAATATGATTTCTGTTAGAGATATTAAAATCAAAAAATTATGGACTATACAGGCCATGTCTCGCCAACAGTCAAACAGTTCGTTCCGTTTCGAGAATATTTATTTGGGGAAAGTTTTGGGAAATACAGGGTGCGCCAGAATTTTGACATTTATTTTTTGACATTTGACATTTTTTATGTCTATTTAATGACACTGATGATCTTGTATATGTTTTTTCATAATTATTAAGTAAAGATACAAAAATGTTGCCAATAAAAGTAACAAATAGCATTAAACCGAGTTACAATTTAGGATACAGCTTCCTTGCTTCCTCTTCTATTAGCCTGTAGCAAAAGAACATGGAAAATTATTTTTCCAACAAAAATAGAGTCAAAGGGCAAAATTTAAACTCTCATAACTTCAAAATTTTTATAGATAGAATTTTTTTAACATTTTTTCCATGTTCCTGGTGTCTTACCTTATGACGCATTTTTCTCTGGGGCGCGAGTTTAGGCGCCCCTGTAGAAACCTAAACAAACAATACAAAAATAAAAATATACGAATTTGGAAAAATTAAACCAACATTTGAAATTTCTAAGGAAATCTTTTTTGCTTCATACTGGCAAATTCATTTATTATTTGATCATAATTTAAATTATGTGCAATATCTATTTCAGTAATTATAATGCTTAAACCTGATAGACGGTCTTGTGCCACTGACGATCATAGATAGTTTTTAATCAATTTTAATTTCGAAAAAAACCTTCGCAAGATGCACTTGTTATTGGAAAAGTAAGATTTTTTTAAAACAATGATTCTAAAGAATTTTTATTAATATTTTCTAAAACTGACACTACTGGTATCCGAATTCTCCACTGTCTTCTTCAGAGGTTTTTTTAAACAAATTTTCAATTTTTGTTGTAGTAGGTATCAACTTTTACAGAATCTGAGGAATTCTTTGAATCCTTTTTCGATTCCTCTAAAGAGGCGGACTACGAAAGAAAGATAAAACTCGCCACTGTAGTCTTTTTAATATCTCTTACTTGATTCATCACTTCATCACATTCGGCTTGAACAAAATTTATTAAAAACTTGGCACTGCTAGTTTGCTCTAATTGTCTGTTGTTCTGTTTTTTTTGTAATAAGCTCCTGAAGGTTTTTATTTTGTCTTTTATACATTTTTGGTCAGTCTTTCTTGATCATTTGAAACTCAACACAATTCAAAAGACTGAAAGCGGTCGTACCTCTTATCAATGAAATGAAGAATTTGAACTAATATTTAAATATGAACTAATGCTTAACTAGTAAAAAAATGTCTTATTGAAGAATAATGGGAACTGCAGTTGGTTAATAGTATTTTTTGCGCCCGCATATTTTGTTATTGTAATATTGTAGACCTTTTCGATTTGGCGCCCCTAGGCAGGAGCCTACTTCGCCCATACCTAGTTTCGGCACTGCGATTTAATGAAAAATTGTAATCTAATTAGATTTAAAAACATGAAATATGCTGTAGTAAAATCAATGGATGCTACAAACCACACATGGCAATTTTTAAAGCCAAATGCATGGTAAAAGTTTACAACACACACTAGCAAATAAAAAGATGAGAATGTTTTGAATCAGCTCGGTTGTGTTGTTACGGTATAAATGTGTCTTTTTTGTATTAAATTTTGGAAAAAAGCAGGTTAAGACAGGCTGCGATTGGGCGTATATTGATATAACTATATTAAGTCCTAAGTGGTGCTGTTGATGGCGATACCAACCTATTAAGGACGCCGTGAAAAATGTCGCCATTATTTTGCGACCGGCGGCAATAAATTTCGTTCGAGATCTGGTAACATTTCGGCAATTAAAAAAACTGGGAGATGAAAAAGACACACACACCAAGTCTTGGAAAAAAGCGCGACCAAAAAGAAGAAGGACCTCGCGTTACATTTTCCTCTCTGCTGCTATGAATAACATCGGAACATTTTTATTGACATTTATAATAGATTGGAGCACGTTCGGCGGCCGTTTACTATAAAATACGACGCCATCTGGTTGAGGATTTACGGTTAAACACAAGCGCCTCTTGCAGGACTGGGGTGATTTTATTTTCGCCCTTTAAGACGGGTAATTTACGCTGATCGTAAATCGCCGACGAGATATAGCGCAACCCTCGGGGCCGATATTGTAATAATGCTAATAAGTTACCGATTACAGGGTTTGGCGATCGTAATGTCCGATCAATTCACCTCGGATCGGCCCTCCTCGTCTGACGTGAGCCATCGACGCCACTGTCTTATCGATGAGGGTGTGTCTGCACAGTAGCGCGCCCCGGGCGCCACACGCGGTTGCACTTTTATGCAAAATATGCCGCCAACCCCTCGGCAAACCTGATTATCTGAGAAAGGGATTTTTTACCGCCGTTTTACACTTTTTTCACAAATTACACCACCACACGGCCTTTTGTGAAGAACAACGATATATTAAAAAACAAAAACTACCTCTTCAATGATTGTTTTTTCATAGTTGCCCCGCTAAAAAACTATTTGTTTTAGACTTCTGGCGAGCATTTGTTTAAAAGTAATAATTTTTTGGTATACGCTCTTGAAACAAGCTGAGCCTTTGCTGGACCCAATAAAATAATATAAAAAATGATTATATTGCTAATGGTTATTAATACCCAAAATACACGTTTTCAGAACGGATAAGTCAATTTAGTTACGATGGTGGCGAAATTTGTTTAATTAATACTAGGTCTAAATTTGTTGTATAATAAATTATTTTGATTGATTATTGTTGCTCTTTCTTAAAACTCTCATAGATAATAAAAAATCTTAGATCCCCACAAGGCACACATTTTTTCGAAAAAAAATGGTCAGGTCTACTAAACACGGGACATTCGATGGAAGTACAGTTCCAACAAAATTAGCTTGTTTTCTCATTTCACGTCAAATGTTTCTGCTTCTACTTAGTTTTCTAATAATAATAACTGAAAATTATTATGCTAATTACATGATAAAGATGAGCATAATCCGTCTTTTGCTTGGGTTGGTACAAGAGCAGGTAGAGATCCTGAAATATATTTATTAATAATTTAAAAACAATAGTGTTTTATTACATATTAAATTGTTGAATTTGTTAAGAATTAATATTTTGTAATAAATACCAAAACCCTAAAACGGTCTACCGTTAAATATCATGACTTTTACATCAATCACAATATCTCAAAAACCAAACACTTTTTTAAAAAAAGGCCAATGCATCGGCCTATAGAATATTCTTTTAAATTATCTTACAAAAACCAAAATTGATTACTTGAAAAATGACTGAGTAAAGTTGTTTTCAAGTTCACCATTTATGCGTTTTTGTTCTTTTTTTAAAAGTATTGATTTTTTTTTTTTAAATCTTAACGTATGGGCCTGTAGATTTAAAAAACCTTTATTTTGATGTATAATACATGAAATTCTGTTGCATATTAAGAGAGTAATCTTGTTTTCAATATACTACCGTCTCGAATCGTTGGTCGTACCATAAGGTGACCAACTACAGAAAACCAAAAACCAGGACTAAATATTTATTTTAAACAAACAAAAACAATTACTTACATAAAAAACATAAACAAAAGAAAATATCATTATAACACTATTAAATTAAAAAAAATACATATAAAACACCTACCTATTTGTTCATTTATTAAAATTATATTTCTTTGAAGAATGAATTGCTTTCTAAGATTTTTTTTTTTAAGATCCCCAAAAATTACGTATGTATAATGTAGGTTGGTTTTTACCATAAGCATCGAACGCAACGTTGTAACTAGTAACTGAGTCGCAAATTATTCATTTGCGAAAAAACACATTCAAAAAATTGTATGTTCCCGGAAGACACATACAGTACTCATATGTAAAATTGTTTTCTTTAAAATGTTTGAAAATCTCCACTCATCTATCTGAAAATCTAACAGATTTGTTCTTCCATTCTTCGATTTTTTTTCTGTTAGCTACATGTCTCGCCAAAAAACAAAATTCGTCAAACAGTTCCGTTTAAGAATATTTATTTGGGGAAAGTTTTGAGAAGTATAAATCGCAGAGCTTACATCAGTTTTCAATCAAAATCCATTTGAAATATTCTAAAATGTCAACTCCATTCACGTTGAATTAAAATCGATTACAATGTTTTTAAAAACTTGTTGATTTCACCATTTGTCTGTAACGACTCAACCATATTTTTAACAGCAAATGGCAAAAATGCCGTATTTTTTCGGTCTTTTATTTGCATTTGAAGTTGCTTGTCAGAACATTAAAAAACAGTACTTTTACAGTTTTTTTTTTACAATTTTTTGACCAGGACAGCATCCACAAAAAAGAGTACTGTCCTGGACAAAACAGTACGGTTGGCCACCTTAAAGTACCAACAATACTGTTTGCTTAATGTCCTATTTCAACAACTTTACTGTTATGTTTATTGTGCTCGCATCTTCGTAAATAAACTATACGTCCAGTAATGCCAGTTTTATTTTATCCTTGATGTCTATATAATGCATGGATACTTTGTTTCTAATAACCATGGTATGTCACTTGGTCTTCATAGTAGAGATGATTTAACAGCATTGTCTACATTCTTTTACGTTGTTGGTACAACGCTGGTAGTTAATTTCAGTCTTTTGTTAAGTAGATTAATCTCTTTTCGATGTGTCTGTCATCACCCTTCACTTTGATTGTTGTGTATTCTACAATGTTTAAGGTTATTGCTAATTTCTGATCGTGACGTCTTAGAATTAAGTGTTGGAAGGGTGTTTAGAGTTCATGGCTTCTTGTAGAAGTGCAACACAGGAACATTAAAGATAAAATACAATGGTTTGCATTGTTTGCTTAGGCACGGGTGCCTATTGAAACAGAACGAAGTTAAGTTTCCTTCGACTTGTGGAAACAAGTGTTAAAGAATATGGTGGGTAAAGTAACACCTCCCATTGTTTCAAGTCAAAACGGCCCACAGTCGCAAACAATATTATAAACGTTATGGTAAATCGAAGCGTCGTCGTCGTATCTGCATACAAAAACGGCCGTGAGAGAAACCACATCGAGATTTACATGTGCCAAAATTGTATTCAAATGTCCTCGAGATAGATAGGGATGGAAATTTGCAAACAGAGCGGTCGGTGGTCGACCTCCCTCCGCAATAATTTTTGAACGTCTGAGACATTCCCCATCGTTTTACATAAATTCCCATTTCAATGCACAATTCGAAATACCGAAAAGTCTCAGTCGTAAAACCCGTTGCACTACATATAACCAATTTCACAGTTATTAATTCTTCCTGCCGATTGAATTTTCCAATTAGAAACCGCGATTCTATCGTGTTCGAATCGAGACCATTAATGCGTCTGTATATTGGCTGTAATTACACCATGGTGATAAATCAATTTGCGGGCCTTTCAGTTCCGGACCTCCGGACTCGAATCCGGGGACGTTGACCTGCCAATAGATGGCGTTGATATTCAAAGACGACAGCGTGGGCCACGCGATGTCGCGACCTGCTAATATATGTCCACGTTGCCCATTAAAATAACGGAATTGCATCGATATTGCACGGTTTGTGTGTACGCAATTGCAACTAACAGCACCAATATTATAATTAAACAAGATCCAGACCTGCTTAGGGTCTCTATTCTAGTAATAATTGCATCAGCATCCATCTTGCTCATTTGCTAACGACCGTGCTTTCCGTCTTCGTTCCGTTCGTGGCGGACTCCTTCTTCTGCCATCAGTAACCGCCGGTAATGATGAACCTCCCACTTCAGACATGCGGTATAATCAGTCATGTCCTGGCAAACACCTATAAACTCACTTGAGCAAGACTTTGATATATTATTTGTGTGAACAACACAAGATTAAAAACAGGCAAGATTTGTTCTTCAAACTTGTCATGTTTCTTTGGTCTTTCACACCTTCTGATGTATATTTTTTGCAGGTTTCGGCGACCGATCCCGACTGCGGCGTCAACGCTATGGTAAATTACACTCTCGGTGAGGGTTTCAGCAAGCTGAAGGAGTTCGAGGTGCGTTCGGCCACCGGCGAGGTCTGCATCACTTCTTCCTTGGACTACGAGACACGAAACGTGTACGAATTTCCGGTCGTTGCCACCGACAGAGGTAATTCGATTTCGAGTTTCTTCGCAGTATTGCGGAAACCGAGCGTGAATACTCCCCATAACACATTAACTATTTATGAAGTGCAAAACTAAAGGAAACAAAATGAAAAGCACGATGTCATTCCTTTTCGCTCACGAAAACGTGCCTAGCCTTTTCAGCAGCGCCGGTGTGTTGAGGTGATCTAAACTAATCGCTTTAAGCTCGCTGTAATTGGAAGGATTAATTATGTCGACGGGTTTGCATGCATAACTCGAGAACAGAAGAATCGTCTTGATCGTTTTTTCTTGCCCAAGTAAAATCGTGTTCCGGAAGTATTCTCGCAAAAATTTCATCGATGAATAAATACCGCCCATCAACAGGCTGATCCAGCACACATAAATCATAAACCGTGCAGATTCTCAAAATTGAAAAGTCCACCAGATGAAGAATGACTCCGCCGCTGTTTACCGTAACATTTTCCATAAAATTCACAAGATTAACGATTCTCTGCTTTCCACTCAACATACCAGGTCGTGCAACTAGATTGTAATAATTATCCGTTTCTAACGGCAACTAGCAAAAACAACCCTGTATCATTTTTTCTCTTAATTGCAGGGGGTTTGAGCACAACCGCTATGGTTAAAATCCAAGTAACCGATGTCAATGACAACCGCCCCGTTTTCTACCCTCGTGTCTACAACGTTTCACTGCGCGAGGGTGGCGCCTCCTCTTCGGCGACAACCCCTGTGGTCGTTGTTGCTACCACCGACCCGGATTCTGGCCGTTTTGGCACCGTCACCTACAAAATCGTGGCCGGAAACGATGCTGGACTTTTCCGCATTGACAAAAACTCCGGGGAAATTTTCATCAATCGGCCCAATCTTCTCTCATCCCGGAGCCAGCCATATCACCGACTCAATATTAGTGCTACTGATGGTGGTAATTTGAAATCTCTCGCCGATGCTGAGGTTTTCATCAGTGTTATTGATTCGGCCCAACGTCCACCCATTTTCGAACATCCTCGATACACCTATTCGGTGAAAGAAGACGTGAGGAAAGAGACGATAGTCGGGAATGTCAAAGCCACTGTCAGAGATTCAGGTTAGTAAATCCTAGATCTTCGGTGATGGATGGAAAGGAGAAAATGAGATACGGAGAGGTCGGAGCAATTCTCTTTCAACCATTACATCTAGATAGAGAGTCGTATATTATATTGTAAAACGGAGGAAAAATGACAATCACGCGTTCGTGTTTACAGTAACAACCGCACTGATAAAAACGTGTACCGTTGGATGTGGATATGGTGCCTGGAATAGCGAATCGCTGTGGAATGTGTACATGCAAAAACGGGTGAATTTCAAACAAGAAATGTAATTGGACAGAATGATGGGCATCTTAAACCATGACTGCATTAAAATTGAATTTAAATAAGTTTTACTTTTGGAAACTTCTCCAAACAAGATGTTTTACAACAAGTTTATTATTGCAAATTATGGAAAGAAGAAGCTCACTCTTAAATTGCGTAAAAAGTAACTCCTTAAACCTCCAAGACAACTTTCGAATACCATAAAACGTAGTAATTAGGTGTAAAATCCAGTTTGGAATGAACAGAGTCATAAAATTGTGACAGAATACAAAAATACTTTAACTCGATTACGTGACTATGAAAAGATACAAATAAAGAAGACGATTTCTTCTCGTCAATTTATCATTTAAAATGACTGGAATCACCCATTCAAATGGAAATAACATTGTTGAACGTTTTTATAGTTTTCTAAAAAGAAAAAAAAATCGGCAGTTTAAACCAAGTTGACAAAAATGCAGATAGTCATGTTTATAAAAGTCTGCAAGAGTTTTTAATAAATCAAAAAGTTTCGGCAAATGTTTAAATAATTAATTTTTTTATTATATTCGAACAGCAAGTACTGTCTGTTTTATAAAATAGGTACCGTAAATCGGGGTTATTTTGACATAGTTTGAGGGTTTTATTAATGTAACTTTTTTACTTGTTGCAATATTTTCTTGAATCGGTTAGCATCAGAACAAGTGATCCTTCTGCTTTAACAAACAAACTTAAAATTTTGCCTCAAGCTCATAGTTTTTCCAAAAAAGTAGAAAATTTGGTGTCAAAGAAACCCCGATTTTGGGGTAATTTTGACAGTCCTTTTAATTACGTTGAAAATCAAAGTTATGCTAGCCTGGGGGGTACTTTGACACCTAGAACTAAAAGTATGTAATATATGATGTAAATAAACTTTTTTGCATAGTGATTATTAAAGGTCGGATTATATGCAAAAAGCATATTTGTTATTAAGAGGTATATCAACAAAATTGTAAGTTTTCTATGTATATCTAATGTTTTTTAATTAAAATAAGCCAAATAAAAAATGCATACTTTGCAACTTGGTGCATATTTTAGGAAATATTGCACATTTTTTTCAAATCACTAATTTCCGATTAAAAATTTCAGTTCAAGTTAAAAATTGGTCCGTTTATGAAAAATGATCCGATTACAAAATATTTTAAAGAGAAAACAACCGGTAATTCGTAAACCAAACTCAAAAAATTAGTACCCTACTGAATGTTTCCTTTTTAAATTGTATTGAACCAAGCGGTTCTTTTTTGCATATTTCTTAATATTTTGTGCATATTTTTGTGAAAATACGTGCATATATATGCGCATACTTTACGATTTTTTCGTGCATATAATCCGAGCCTTAGTGATTATGAAAGTTGAATTTTCACTTATAATTTACACGAGAGATTTTTTTCGAAGTAAACTTGACATTTTAATGAGAATTTTATTTTCTGGCAATTTAACGAAAAAAACTGCTCCTGAAAAAATTAATTGTCATCACAATTAATAGTATAGAAAGTTATATATTTTTAAACGATTTCTATAGTTATATTTCTATAGTTATATCTATAGTTTCTATGTAGTCCATTACAAAGAGCTTGTGATACATTACGATTTGATTTATCAAATTGATATCTTTTTGGTCTTTGGGGTTCTTGGGATTATCATTATGCAAAAATAAGTTGGGTACAACTCGTTTTGTAAGTGCTTTTTTGCTTTTTTCACTCATTTGCTTAGTAACGCTAACCCGGCAAATTCAAATTTTGATTATTCGAGGGCCGTTTTCGCCCAAATAAAATTAATTGAAAAATCGAAAAAAATGTCGATAGATAGCCCTTTTCGAACACTACAAGCTCCATTAATCAGATTTTAATTTCTGTTTTTCCTGCAGCCGGAAAAAAATAAAAACTAATGTCCCAGCTGGTAGATTTTCTTAAAAAAATTCATTTTTTGGTATTGGCTTTTATAGGGCAAAAAAAAATAAAGTAAACATAATTTCGGTAGTTAACTACACTAAGAAGAAACAAAATTAGTAGCCCCATAACGTGTTAAGGGAAAGTCAAAATTACAAAAAAAAATTGTCACCGGAAATGGAAAAATTGAGATTGAAGGAATTCTGCAGCAAGTAAAACAAACATTAGTACTTGTTGTTAAGTGATTGTTGAAAAAATAGGGAAAATGAGGAAGGAATCACACTGAGGACGCGTAAAGTTCAAAAGTTCAAAGCTTTGATAGTTTCTCGCATTTCTAGCATCAGTTTGTGTTTTCTCGTCGAGTATTGCCGTCCATCTGGCTTTGGAAAAATTGAGTGAGACAGGTTCAGCAGTGTGTATGTGCGTGTGGGCGTCAAAAAGGAAAGAATATGATTGGTCGTTGATATAAAATCCTTGTCTATTTTTCTGTTAGTAGCGTAATGTATGTAATGGCCGGGAAGCAAATCGTCCGGTATTCGCATTCTGCCACATTTGCACGGTAATAGTCCAGCGTGTCGGTCTTCAATACTAACTATTGTCCTGTCTCTCGCGTTGTCCGCCCATGTGGTCATTGTCTCAGTAGTATTCATTTATTTCACGGCGTTTCCCGCAAACTCGGCTACTGCTCGGCCTTAATGGGACATGCATGGCCGTTGTTTATTTTAATTGAAAATCGAATCGGTTCTCACGTCGTTGCGGAAATTTTCTCCAATAGACGAAAAAATTACCATATGGACAGGATTCCAAAATAGTCCCATTACAATGCTAAATTGGTCATTGTTGTACAAACTCGTTTATTTATTGGATGAAATATAGTCATTAGTGACACCTGACGTGTTACTTTGCATATTAGGCTAATGGAGGTGTTACTTTTTATCTGACAAAAACTGTTAATTTTAATTTGATATCTTTATTTAAACAAGTTTGCATGTTAGACCGAGATAAAACTCCACTCTTCGATTATATAACTCCAAAAAGATCGATGATGGAGGAGGTTTTTGTCGGTATCCCGCCCAACATTACACGAATTTCGGGACGAATTTTCCTCTAATTAACCTGTCTTGAGGGTGACGGCCATGGATCGTAAACCGAGCGCAGTTAGCGCGCTTATAAAATCCGGGAACGAAAAAAAATTATTACATTTTATGTTTCATTTGATTTTAAATTGCAATTCAACAAGGAATAAGTAATAAAATCGTCGTAAAGTCGGCCCAACGACACAAGAACCACGGCCTTCATTAACTTAACGATCGCTTTCTTTTTAAGAAAATATCAAACCTACCCGGACTCGATTGGACAACGGATTTTCATAGCTTGTTATGGTGCCGAGGCGATTTATGAATTTTTGCCAACGCTAAAAACACACGTCTAAAAAACAAGCCATTTAGACAAAACGGGAAATAATTGTGGATTTTATTTTATTTCTACACATAAACAAAGCACCTTGGCGTTTAACAAGCCAGCTCTCAGGAATTTAAAGCCAGAACGAAACACTTTTACTGGTTTTTGGAATAAACACAAAATTCTACTCTTTTACATACTTTTTATTTTAGGAGAAAAGATGATTATGCATTCACTGGATACCAATGAATAATTTATGTTCCTCTTTTATTGCTCTTTTTTTACTTAATATAAAGTTCTGCAGAAATACAAATCGCCATAAAAATGAAGTTTCAGAAAAAAAGATCAAGATTTTCTTTTTTTCTCATTATTTTTACTTCAAGTTCACCGAAAATAAATGAATTACGGGTATAAGTTATTCCTATTTCAAAGGTGCTTTGAGTGCTTTGCTAGCAGGGGAGACTAGTACAAAATCTCCCCTTAACGAAAAAACAAAATTACTTTTAAGTTTAAAGAACTTATGTGTATTTATTAATGTGTGATGAAACTATGGCCCATTTTTTACAACTGCTAGAATAAAATATTTGGGTGGAGCCATTTTCATATTATTTTTTTATTTACTTGTAAAATAATAGAAATAAATTGGTGAAAAATGATCCCAAATAAGATAAGCCATTTTACTAAAACAATTTTAATATGTGGTAGTTACATCTTGTTTTAACCTATTTAGATCACATACACATCTGTGTCGTTTTTGTCTACGTTAGCATAAGCCCAATTTTTTGCACTGGTAGCACTGTATTTTTTTCCCACTTTTTTTTTCTCACTTTTAAAGTTGAAATATTTTAACTTGCAATACATACACTTAACGTTATTTTCAACTCCTTGGTTCATTCCAGAAAGGGATTTTTCTTTTGTACTTATCTTTTTTTTCTTGTTTGTTTTTATTGTTTTCTTTTTCTGCTTTGTGTTGTGCTAATTTTATTCTTTTTGCTGTTTCTTACATTGACTGATTGCTTTTTGGATTCCATGAAGGTATGTTGAAGTATCCCGCGATCATTTTATACACAAACCACGGAATCGTTTTACCCCAATCAGTATTTTTACATTTCGAATTAAAATATAACTTCCAATATAATGTAGAATTCGATACTCTAACGGTATATTAAAAAAAATATCTCCATTTATATTACAGCTATCAAAAATACCCTTACCTTAAAAAACCAGCGTATTCCAATTTTTCCCTAATAAGATAGCGATGACACGGACAAGCGATTTGTCATTAATAATAATGACTGAACGAAATTCACAAATCTTGGAGATTTATCAAAACTAGGTGTACACATTTTTTGATTATCATACTTCGAATAAAGAAATCCAAAAAAATTGAATTGGGCTATTTATTAACGAGACAAAAGTCCCGTGAAATCTAACGCCAAGCGTCTTTTTGCAGTGATTCGCAGTTTATGAAACTTATTGAAATGGAAATCAAATTAAAACAGCACATAGGTACCTACTCAGGATTTTAATAAACTTTAATACCTTCTTTCTATATTTTGTTGCTTTTCTTAGACTTGTGTTTAAGAATGCCAGAAAAATGTTTTTTCTGTAATATATCTGCAATCTAAACCATAACAGAAGCACTTTTTGAGTTTTGACTATCTACGAAAGAAATTGCTTCTAATTTAGTACGGATATTTTGTTCATTTACCACTAGTAAAACTGTAATTTTGCCTATTTTTCCGACTGTTATGGTTCTACTCGTACATACTGTCATTTAAAAAAATCGAAATACCTTTCGATGGATTTATACGATAAAACGCAATTATATCTTGGCTAAGACTGTACATTAATTTCTTTCATCAGATTTATTAGAAAATGAAAGAATTGAATACAGTACATCTACTTTAAAATAACATGTGCGTTTGATTTTATTTTATTACAAAATGTCCGACAGTTGAGAAAAAATGTATTGATAATAAGAGCATAATATTATTAATTTTCCTGCAGACATATCTTTTTATTTATTGAAAAAATAGCTCGGATACATTTCAGTTTCTTGTCACATGTTTGCTTTCGTTCGTCTGGAGAATCAGTACCGAATCTCATTACGCAAATTTGGTCTTGGGACACCCCGTCGTGCCCCTCAACTTCCCCAAAAATCTTGGCCGTCCGTCGCAGCAGAGTTGAGTCGCGGCTCGTCTGTCGTCCTGCTTCCCCCCTCCTGCAGACCTGTCCGGCGAGCTTTTGGGGGTTTCAAACAGCAAACCAACTTTTCAGCAATGTAATAAATCGAAGGAACGTTTCTGTCGCAACGACCTGAGCACTCCAAACGGTGGACCAAAGCGCTCGCTCTTTATTTATCGACCTTGTCGTTCTGGCCGGTTTCACGGCCATCATTTATTTGTGGCACGGTATTTAAATCAATCAGCGCGTTTGAATAAATTTGTTGCCGGGATTATGAATGGCGGCTGTTCTACACGAACATTAGTCCGGGAAATTGCGCTAATGAATCAAACGGAAGAGACGGAGACATTTTGGTCGCCGCTGATACGCGAAGAATACAATGGCCGCTTCCCTCCGAATAATTGCCCCCTCCGAAACCTTTGTAATGCCGTGACAGCACTGCTCGTTTGCCTAAATGCTAATAAGGGACCTTTACAAATCTCAACAAACAAAAAGCGACGGGGTATTTATTATACGCACATATACGTTTAATTAATGCCGGGGACGCTTTTTGGGAGTTTTTTTAACTCGACGTTGTTTTTTCAAAATTTCTATAGGTCCGCGTGGGTACTAATTCTTTCTTTTTTATGCAAAATTTTGGGAACACTGCTTCAAGAACTTACCCTTGAAACTTAATTCAATTAGCAACAGTCTCTTAATGTTATTGCTAATTAACCACTTTATTAATTGACAAGACAACATATTAAAACATGAATACATTAATAAATACCCGGAAATGTTATCTGTCAAAAGAAAAAAATTGCTTTTCTCGTAACAAAATTTCTGTAAAATAAATGTTGATTGATGCGTTTTTGCGCCTATTAAGCGACTTAGAAAAAAGTGCGAAAATGAGGAAGCAAATTCGGCGGCAATTATTCAAACTCATCACAAGAATTCAATTCCGTCGACCGGATTAATTTATTACACCGAATTTTTTGCGTCTCATAATTCAGGAAATGCGGCATTTCTTGCAAATAAAGAGCCGGTTGTTAATTGGCCACCGTGAGAACAATTAATTACGGACACTTATTCGTCTTTTGTGCAGATATGAAAGCCCCAACTCGTAAAAAAGTGCCTCAAGAGAATATTTCACGTGGCAATTAAATAATTATTTATGAAAGTGTATAAATCTTTTTTTTCTGTACGGTCGGCAACTGAAGAATCCCCGGCATCTCTCAACACGAAGAAAATCAAATCGAAGCAATGACTCCCAACGGAGCCCAGAAAACAAAAGGACCGTAATTAATAAAAGTCACAACCGAATCAAATAAATGAATCTCACGCTGGTGCACGTGAGGTGTTGAATGGTCACTTCAAGAATGTCATTTTGTTTTTATTCGGCGTGTCCAACCCGGAATCGTGCCGACGGTCATAATCCGGGAGCTTAATTGGGGCAAATCTGTGAAAAATACAAATTACGATTCGGATACCACCCATGATGATAACAACGATCACTATTAGTGGCTCTGCTCCTTGAAATACTATTGCATTCAAAGGAAGACAGATTAGCTCGGCATAAACCGGCTTTGTGTTGCGCCACGAATACCGGAGTTGAGAGTTTAGGTGTTTTGCTTTTGCGAAAAAATCGCTAATATAAATCGACTGGTGGGATAACTGGCCACTTTGTGGGCATTACCAAAGATAAGGAATCGGCCCGACGCAAATTTTGATCAAATTAATTATATTTTCGCCCACATGTCGTGATAATAAATTAATTTATTAGTAAATGCATCGTCCGAAATCATTCAGATTGCTAATTACAAGTTTTTGCTCCACCTCTCTTGCTTATAATTAATCTTTTTAATCGCCATGTTTTCAGCTTTCTATCTCTTCGTTACAGTTAGGTTTATATGGCACTTTTTGTCTTTCATATTTACTTCCTGTCCTCTAATCTTTTATGCCAATCGGTCATATAGTCATTTTATTTCACATCCATTTATCATTGTCCACTGCCTTTCATAATAATATATCTAAGGTCTTGACCTCAAGTACATTTTTTTTATTTTCCTTGTCTAATTTCAGTTATTTAAATTCCCTTCAAAGGCCAAAAAAGCCAAATTAATAAAACTCCATTGTGTACCATTATTCAGCACTTCTTGACGTGTGTAGAAAAAAGTAACACCAGTTGTTCTCCAGATTTGTATCAGGAATTTTTATGGTATAATTACAAGTTGGACGCACTTTTTAAAATACCTAACCTCTATGTCACACATTATAAGGAACCAAGATACAGCATAAAAGTCAAAAGCATTTGTAATTTTCAAGATTTAAAATTTGCACACTCTTAACAGAAAAATTATTGATGATTGCTTTAGAGCTTTGGTGGTTTTGATAACATTTCAACAATTTTTTTAAATTCGTATATTACTAATAGGAAACAAATTGTTACAATAGGTCCCTCACAATCAAGAGCAGGAAATATTACATCCGGTGTTCCGCAAGGTCCAATTTTGGGACCACTTCTATTTTTAATATACAGCGCAGAAATATTAGAATCGGTAAAATATGTTAACATCCATGCCTTTGCAGATGATACAGAGTTGTACTTTTATTTTGATCCTGACGATGTAGAACAAGCTTGCAACTTTATTAATCAAGATCTAAATAAAATTTTCTTATTGTCTAAAAGCATTGGTTTAAATTTAAATTCGAGTAAATGTTCATCAATTGAGATTTTCACAAGAAATTAAAAAAATCAACTCGGAATTTAGTTGGTAATATTGAAATAGGTATCTCAAACAGTGTAAAAAATCTTGGAATTATAATGGATTCGGAATTACGATTTAGCGAACATGTCAACTTGATTGTAAAAAGGTCTTATATTGCATTAAAAATGTTATATTCCAAATATCACATTTTTAATTTTAAACTTAGAAATAAACTATGCGAGTCATTGGTGCTTTTCAACTTTAATTATGGTCTCATCATTTATTTTTCATGTATAGATTATCAATCTAAAGATAAATTACAACAAATACAAAATTCGTGCTATCGTTTTATTTACAAATTAAGAAAATTTGACTATGTATCTCAAAAAATAAAAGAACTTGTTTGGCTGCCGGTAGACCAAATATACAATTACTTCTTGTCAGTGTTCATATATAAAATGTTTATTACTGCTTCACCACCCTATCTCCGTGAAATATTTAATTCGAGAAAAAGTTGTCATCGTCATATTGCTGACCTGTCATAGCAAAGTTTAAAATAGCAATATTTAAAAGATCTCTGTCTTACAATACAATAAAGTTATATAATTCTTGTCATTTGTTTAAAGAAAAACATTTTTTGAACTTATAGTTTTTTGCTTTTGCTTTTTGTTATTTTCTTATTGTTTTAATTCCTGTTATTTCTACTTAAGTAGTTTTTCTTAATTTTAGTTAAACTGTAATGCAATTTTTCATTTTTCTTTTCTGTTAATTTTCAGGGGACCACAAAAACATCCGCTATTCGATCTACTCCGGGGACCCGGAGGGCTTTTTCCGGATAGACCCTTCGACTGGTGCCATCCGAACAGCCTCATCCCTCGACCACGAGCTCCGGAGTAGCGTTCTCCTCAACATCCAAGCCACAAACGGCGATCCCCCCGTCTACGGCCACACCCAAGTCAATATTGAGATTCAGGACGTCAACGACAACGCCCCGGAATTCGAATCAAACGTCGTCCGGATTTCCGTTCCGGAGAATGTCGAAACGGGGATTGCTCTCTACGCCGCCCATGCCCGAGATCGCGATTCCGGCGCTAATGGCGTCGTACGTTACAAAATCGTCAACAACGGCGCTACCGGCGGCCTGTTCAACGTTGACCCTAAGCTGGGTCACTTGACTCTGACAAGACATTTAGATTACGAAACGACCCAGCGGCACAGCTTGATTATAACAGCGACCGACACTGGAATTCCACCATTATCTGCCAACTTGACGGTGTTGGTCGAGGTGCAAGACGTAAACGACAATCCTCCGGTTTTCGAAAGGAATGAGTACAGTAAGAGTGTGGAGGAGGCGAGACCGGTCAACTCGCAGATTCTGCAAGTCACGGCGGTGGATCTAGATACCGGAAACAATGCTAGGTTGACTTATAGACTTCTTGCCGGAAACAACACCGGGGAGGTTTTTGGAATTTTTCCAAACAGTGGTTGGCTGTATTTAAAAGGAAGTTTAGATAGAGAAATCAAAGATCGCTACGAATTGACAGTCAGTGCCACTGACAACGGTACTCCTTCATTAAGTGCCACCGCAAAAATCCTCATTAAAGTCAGTGATGCCAACGATAACGACCCGAAATTCACCAAAGAAAATTACGAATTCAGCATTGAGGAGAATCTGAGATCAGGGTCTCCCGTAGGAAAACTCTCGGCTACTGATGAGGACATCGGGATTAATGCCGTTATTCGCTACAGTTTAATACCAGGAAACACCAGCTTCCAGATAAATCCAGCAAGTGGTAAGTGTTTTTTTTCCATTTTGACAGGTGTGAGTTGGAGCAGAGTTCAAGGTTTAGTTTTTTCGGTTTGGAATCGGCCTAATAGCAAAATCGTGTATTATTGAACAAATGTTTGTGAAAGAAAACGTTTTAATGCGGCTGATGTTAAATAAAGTAAATGAAAAACAAATATGCTTTTGTGTAGACGGCGACTTCCTTTCAATAAAAATTTGTTTGCTTTCATAATAGCTTAAGCTCATCTGATGTTGGTTTTTTATTTGAATGGTTAAAGTGCGTTTTGTGGAAATTCAATCGGCGGCTTGGATTAATTTCATGCCGGCGTTAAAGCGTCAAACGGATGAATTTTCCGTTTGTAATGCGGTCTTATTAGTTCCAATTAACACCTAGTACTAAAAGCCTGATGAGTATGGGCTTCAGACCGGAACAAAAAACACAAAGTTCAACCAAAGAAGCAATTATTTGTAAAGAGAACAAAAACTTAAAAAAAACTAAAGGCAAAACTCGAATAAATAGATTCTTGATGTAATGGTAATTACTGACTGAAAGTCTTGCGTACTTTTTTCTCATTCAGATTACCATTTACCGTTTTAATCAGTAATATAAGTACAAAAACAAAAAATCTGATTTATGGCTGAAAAATCAAGATGTGTCTTGAATTTAAAAACATAGATAAATTCAATCCTAATAAAGCCAAAAGACATTAATACGAACCACTGGATAAATAACACAGCAATATAGTGAAGAAAAAAGATTTTATTAGTGAAAATTGTTCATTGAACATTAGTATACCAACCGCGCGATCTTAAAAGCCCTTATCGAATCATGTCCATTATCTGAAAGAGAGGAGATTTCCCGCAATAACGGCCATAAAACCGTAGTAGAAACTATAAAATTATCCGACCACTACTTCGAAAGGGTCTATTATTAAACGTAAGCTGTAAACGGCCATTAATACCGAAATGGCGTTAAATTGCCGTCACGTCGAGACGTCGTTTATGCAGCTTTGGGTCGTCGGAGTTGAGGTTATCAAAGCTCTCGATTGAGCCATAAGACAAACAACATATCGCGTGATAAAGAGCACCACGGAAGGAAAAAAAGTGGAACGTTGAACCTGGCCCCAGATTGATTCATGGACTTAAATGCGATTAAGTACTGCATTTATCATGTTTTCAATACGAGTAATCCGACCTGTGATATACTAAATATGATTTATGAGCTGAGTCTGATCTCCAATTTAATATCGTGAAAGTTTACCTCCGATAAATTTTCGATTCGTCTTTTTGCGACGAGAGCATTATTCAATGAAATCCCGGGATTAAGCGCGCGCAGGCCCGACGCGATTTATGGTCCTGCCACCGACTGAAAAATATTCTCCATGGAAGTGCGAAATTTGACCGGCCGATACGAAATTTCTCATCCTAGACTTGTCATTACCACAAGGTTTGTTGCTAGTTTTTCACTGGGAAAAATCTTTACACCTGACTTTCCGGGGATGTCCTTTTAGATACTACATGAAATTTTATTTAATACCGTTAAGAGACGCACGCCATCACAACACATTCGATACGCCTGTTTTTCAAGAGCAGCATGGGTGCAATTGCAACAAATCCACGAGATAATTAATTTTTACACTCTGATCGTCTCGACAAAACTCATTGTAAGTACTGTTTAGTTAATTGTATTTTACTTCCAAATTTTTTGAAATAAAAACATTACTACAATAGAACCCCTGTATAACGAGAACTCAAGGGGATAAAAAAAGTTTTTACACAGAGAAAAATGCCATATAGGGTAAGATCCCAGGAACATGAAAAAAATGTTAAAAAAAAATATCTATAAAAATTTTGAAGTTGTGAGGGTTTAAATTTTGCACTTTGACTCTATTTATTTCTGTTGGAAAAATAATTATCTAATTTTTTTGCTATAGGCTATTAAAAGAGGAAACAAGGAAGCTGTATCCAAAATTGTAACTTTGTTCAATGTTATTTGTGGCTTTTATTGGCAAAATTTTTGTACCTTTACTAAATAATTGTAAAAAAACATATGCAAAATCATCAGTATCATTAAATAAACATAAAAAAATGTCAAATGTCAAAAAATAAATATCAAAGTTTTTTGACAGAATTTTTTAAACATTTTTTTCATGTTCCTGGTATCTTATCTTACTTGAAATTTTTCTCTGTGACGCGAGTTCTGTATACCATGCAAATTATTTATTAAATACGAATATTAAAGAAGTTTAAGTTTATTTAAGAAAAAAATCTGTAATTTTTGTTTGATTTTTGTAATGAAGCATTTTATCTTTCCAATTGTACCGGGTGGGGCATCTATTACGCCCAAAAAGAAAATCCCCACTTCTAATTAAATAAAATTGTTGAATTTTTTCACACTTACCTGAGCATTAGTAAGGTACATTCTCTAATTTTTTGGTAATTTTTCATTCACAAGCAAAGTAAAAAAAAAATAAAAAGTAATTTTCTCCCAAAAAATTTAATTTTAATTTTTATACTGACCTACGCAGATTCACTTCCTACAATTGTTTACAAAATCAGAAAAACAATACCAATTAGATTTTGAATTAAACGCAATTTTCCATCTTAACTTTGAAAATCATTTTTATTTATGACCTGCTACTTGTGCCATCGTAAATTTAGGTGACAATGGGGAACTGCAATTGGGGTAAGATTCCAAGGTTTACAACAAAAAGACCCTTTAAAGCGGTCGGCTACCAGTAAATGATTCTTTTGTTGGCAAATTATACTATTTTGTCATAAATCACGGGTCTGGTTTGTGTTTAAATAAAAAAAGCGATTATTTGGCTAACCCCAGATTACAGATTAATTTAGTGTAAAAACTTTATAGGTAAATTAACAGAAAGTATTCATAAAACACACAAAACTGTTACGGACTCATTTATTATCCAAAAAAATTAGAAAAATTCTCAAATTATACCCTATCAATACTTAGTTAGGTATATGAAATATCGCCAGTTTTAATTAATTTGAAATCGCGATTTATCAAGTGCGCGTAACCGTAACCCCACCCGGTACAAGGCTATTGACAAAGACATCGTGGTTAGGTGGAAGCATCCAATAACAAAAAATTTCATCTCTAGAGAATCCTCAATTTTTACTTTTAACTTATGGTTATATTGGATTCGCGATTCACTTTAAACCAAGTAATTTTATCTAATTTAGCATTTTTATCACTTTTGACAAAAATTCACGAGTTGAATTAAATTAAAAAAAATTTTTTTTTAATTTTTTGCCAATGTAGAACTGGCTAAATTTTTCTCTTTACAAATTACAGCTTGTTTTTTACCACTTTCGAACTCTTTATTATTGATATTTTTTCTTGATAGAAAATGTTTTTCTTTCCGAGGACGACATATTGATACAGAAAGACGAAGTGTTCTCTACTTAAAAAGTTATTTAAGAATGAGAAAGTGAGAAAAATAAAACCATTAGCACGCAAAAACAACATTTTCAAAAAAATTCTAGTACACAATACGTAAGGAGGCTTGCAGGATATTTATTTCTTCTAGAAACTCTCGGTATAACCGATCTGTTTCTGAAATTTCTTGCTATTGCCGATCTTGGACAAAATAAAAATGTTGTTATATCCATCTCAATTCCAGAAAAATACTCGCTATAGAGGGAGAATTTTACATAGAGTAGAATACAAAACAAAACTCGTTTTAGCCGATTTTTCGTTATAACCGAGACTCGTTATAGAGGATTTCCACTGTACTATTAAAATTTATTAAGCATTCGGTAAAAATTTGGGTCTCTTCCATTAATTTTTGCACTATTTATGGTAAAAATAGCGACGATTTGAATTTGTTCTCATGGATTGTATTTTTTTAATTTGCTTTGCGTATAAAATTAGAGAAGAGCCCGAAAGTACCGTCGTTTAATCTGTCGGTCACCTGCGTCGAATCGCCCAATCCACCAGTGGTGATTTCTCTCTGTTTATCGTCAATAAGTGTCAACCGACCGGCGTTTTTGAAGTTAACTTAATTAGGTGGCTGCACCTCCTCGACTTTTCGGCTAAAAACCCGCCAGTTATGCACCCATAATCGAACTTTAATATGATAATAGTGCCGTAAAACTCTTCGAAACGGACTTTCATGAACATAAAACACCGAATTTAATTGCGCAAGTTTGGTGAAAAAGGGAAAAAAGGTAGATAATTAAATCGAATGTGCAGCATCCCCCTTGTCGCGCGATCTCCTTTAAACCGCTCATTATAATAATTGCAAGAGAAATTGGTAACATAATTGTATAATATCAAGAATGTCACGCTCGTTCAATTTCCCGAGACGTGTTTCGAAGACGCGTATTCCATAAACAATGAGACTTTTGAGATGTAAACGTCGTTTTCGGTTGGCTATCCGGACGAAAAACAAAGAAATCGCGGAGGCATCTACCGGCGGTAGCTGAACTTAATTACAGGCACCTGTTAGCCCGACTCTTATTCCGGTTTTAATTGAAAATGGGTTCTCACGAATCATAAAGCGACCATGATGGATGACGGCGACGCGGTGTTCCGCTTCTCGAATGTCAACCATGGGAGGCTCTCTTCTCATTTTTTTCCTTTTTTCGAAAAATCCAATTACATCTTTACTCTTAGCGCCATCTACCGTCCTGACCACCGGTACTTCCCCGTCTTAACAACACTGATTGATATCTACGCGCCGGAGGCGCAACGTGTCATCCCAATTAAATCATCTCGTCTGGTAGATTTCGGAAGTTTGATTTTCCTATGCGAAGCTCGAAACACGGCTAGAATGTGGTCTTGCGGCCCGCCAGACGAACAACCATCACAAAAACATAGGCGTAGGGAGGGTCAAAATTAGGTGCACCAAATTTCCATTTCACTACTTGGACATGTATTATTCTTATATTTTTTTTTTTTTTTAAAAAGTGTGTTAATTTTGAGTGGCTAGTAAGCGATCAGTAAATATTTCATAAAATGGTAAATGATCAGTATTTAATTAATGTTTGCACAGTAAAAAATTAAAAATGATCAGTATAATATAAATATTTTGCGCAGTAAAAATAATACATATAACTTTAATCAAAATTAGTAAAACAACATAAAATTTAAAGAATTTTTAGTCTTGGTTATGTTATTTATTATTGGTACTTTTTTATATTACGGAATATTTATTATTATTGGAATGTGGTATATGCATTAGCAAGGGCCCCTGCGCAAGAATGATTTTAGCAAGGGCTGGAAACTGTGCACAAATGGTAATCAGCGTACGCCACTCTTTGCACTGCTGTGCTTCTGATACCACAATTTTGTTTTTGAAAAGACTAAATATGTATTATTTTGTAATAATAAAAACAAAAATGCTATGGACAACACAATTACTAATTCTTTTAACATAAAACTTGAAACTAATACGAAATTTTTGGATATTTTCCTGGATGATAGGGTAACGTGGAGCACTCAACACAACAATATGGCAAAAAAATTAAGTACAGCTTGTTATGTACTTAAAGGACTAAAAAAAGAGGTTAACAAAGACACTTTATTGTGTGCCTGTTATGGGATTTTTTATAATATTATGAAATATGGAATAATATTCTCGGGGAGGTTACCATCTAACAATGACATCTTTGCATTACAAAAAAGGGCTGTAAGATTAATAGCCGATTTGAAACCACTTGATTCATGTGTAGAAATGTTTATAAAGCTCAATCTTCTTACTGTGATAAGAGTGAATATAAAGTATGGAACCAAGCGGTTTTATTTTTAATCATTTGCCTCCAGAAAATAATAATTAATATAAATTAAAGTAATATAAAAAATGTCATCGTATTTTCAGAACGAAATTTTGTTTTGTTTTTGAGTTATGCGATTTTTTTTGTCAAAATTGCAATTTATGTGAATTTTTTTTTTTTAAAAATCAAATATAAAGCAGATAGTTAGTTGTAATCCTTAGGGTATAGTTTTTATGAGAAAAATGATTTTATAGTGGGTTGCCATTTAAAAAATAATTTTTTTTTGTAGAACTCAAAAACAAAAGGTAATTTCGAAAAAAAAAATTCTTGTTAAATCAATTAGTTTTTTCAAAAAATAAATAGTTTAAGCAAAAAACATTTGGTTCCATACTTTTTATTCACCTGGTATATGGAGTGCCTTTGTTTTGTACACCAACATAAAAATATGTTCACCCGTAAAATTGATACTTATACATATCCATTGCACAGAACAGATTTGCTTGAAAGCGGATGTTGTTACCAATTTGGCTTTAGATTTTACAATTCTTTGCCATCTAAATATAAAGAACTGCTAATTACTCTCTTTAAAAAAAAAGCTAAGGCAAAACTTATAGACGCAGAGCTCTACACTCTGAATAAGTTTTTATTTTTATGTAAATACTTGTCATTAAATGTAAAATGTTATTTGTTTTTTTTTGTGTTTCATTTTGAATCAAGACAAGTTAAATTAGTGTGGGCGTTAGTTCGGCTAAAGGGGTGCATAGCACCCTCGGGGTTGCTCTCGTGGTTCCGCCTATGCTGCACACATGATTGAAATGTATGAGGGTCCACATGCCAGTCACGTTGCCAGAATCTCGAGCGGCTACAGAAGCCGTGGAATGCTTTTAGCATTCCGCTTTGAGAACAAATAATAATAAACCGTTGACACTTTCCATAACTACTCCCGGCCAATCGCCATGCTTTTTGCGCATTTCGGCGGCTCAAGTACCGAAGGGCCGGCCTTCATTCCCTTCGTAATGAGAGTGGAGTGAATGGCATGGCGCGGGCCCTGCAAACTCGGTTTCGGTGCGTTTCGTTCAGTGGCCGGGAATGTGGCCGAACCGCTTCTTCAGCCCTGGCCCCTCGACGTCGCGCTCGCTGGATTCCACGGACATACTTCACGCGCGGTCTCCGCTCGCAGCTGCAACTGGATCACAAACACAAATTTTGCCCGACTCTCCCCAATATTTCTCACCCGGTAATCTTCTTAGAGCCGAGGTGTCGAGATTAATCATGTGTGCGGACCTTGGAACCTAAGTGATATTTATGTGAACTCGCTCCAATCTCATTCTCTGTAATTTGCACGATCGATCCTTTGATTGAATCCGATTTTTGCAGGCGAGATCACCGCCAAAGAACCCCTCGATCGGGAACGGAAAGAAACCTACGATCTTGTGGCCGAAGCGAGGGATCAAGGTACTCCATCGCGGAGCAGCAGGGTGGCTGTCAAAATTCACGTGTTGGACGTCAATGATAACATTCCCGAAATTATTGATCCACAAGAGGACGTGGTTAGCGTCCGGGAGGAACAACCACCGGGGACGGAAGTTGTGAGAGTTAGAGCGGTGGATGCTGACAACGGCCAAAATGCTTCAATCACTTATTCGCTTTTAAAACGCCAAGATTCGGACGGTTATGGAGTTTTTAAAATTGATCCCCTCACCGGGGTTATCAAAACAAGAATGATGCTAGATCACGAGGAGAAAACCATTTATCGTTTGGCGGTTGTTGCAAGTGATGCTGGGAAACCTCCGAAACAAATCGTCCGAGTACTGAGAGTTGAAGTTTTAGACTTGAACGACAACAGACCCACCTTTACCAGTTCAAGTCTAGTTTTTCGAGTTCGCGAAGATGTAAAAATCGGACACGTTGTAGGCACAGTAGCCGCATCTGAATCTGCGGATCAAGAAAATATGATCAGTGGGAGTACTGGAGGACACATTACCTACACTTTAACATCGTTAATGCCGGAGAATGTTATCGATGCTTTCGATATTGACCGCAGTACCGGCTCACTGGTTGTTGCTAAAGAATTAGATAGGGAACGTGAATCTGAGTATCGGTTGGAAGTACGGGCTTTAGACACAAGTGCTATGAATAACCCCCAAAGTAGCGCTATAACGGTCAGGATCGATATCGCTGATGCTAATGATAACTCTCCGCGTTGGCCCGAAGACCTCGTCACAATTTCCTTGAGCGAAAACACGGCAATTGGTACTTCTATCCACAATTTCACAGCAACGGACGTCGATAGTGGCAGTAATGGGGACATTCGGTACCATCTCCTCCACCAATACCCGACAAATGACACTTTTACCATTGACACCCTCACTGGAACTTTGATCCTTTCCAATTCCCTTGACTATGAAACTGTCCAAGAATACACGATCATAATCTCAGCTACTGACCAGTCTTTCAACATATCCGAGCGCAGATCTTCATCAATCACCGCTCGCATAATCATAACTGACTCAAACGATAACCCCCCAAAATTCGTCATTCCTGTACCCCCAACCGCCTTCATCAGCGAATCCAGCACCATAGGCATGAAAATCACCCACTTGGTAGCCGTCGACAGCGATAGCGGCGATAACGGCCGTGTGACATATGTGATTTCGAGCGGAAATGAAGGCAGTTTATTCGCGTTGGGTTACGACACGGGCGTTTTGACCTTAGCCAAACCTCTTCCTGACGCACAAAGAACTTACGTTCTAAATGTAACAGCCACTGATCACGGGACGCCTACACTTCATGCCGATATGGAGTTAAAATTAATCGTGCAAGGATCTGAAGTGAACCCTCCTCGGTTTTTTAACGCATTATACAGGGCCGATGTACCGGAAGATGCACCTGTCGGTACTTTCGTCACGAGGATCACCGCCAAATCGGGACTTGTTGAAGATGGTAAGTTGTACGCCCTCAAGGGCTCCAACCTGATTTCATATTTACATTTATATTAATCTCATATCGACGTAAAATGAATATTCATGGTTTTATTAACCGCGCTCGAAGGATGTTAACTGGAAGATTAATTGGATTCGAGATCGGATAAAACCGGAGTTTGGTGATAATTGTACAGAGCAACTGATTACTAATTTTACGCCGTATGCCTTACGCATCGTAATCAGAAATTCATTACATGGGATTTTTTCAGGTGGTAACATCACTTTCTACATACCACAAGAAATCGCCGACGGGGCTTTTCAAATCGACCCTACCTCAGCCGTAATCACCACAAGCAAATATTTAGATCGCGAAACAAAAAACACATATACTCTCCCCATTTACGTTATTGATAATACCACACCGGGGAAAACTCTATTTGATGTTGCTACTATTATAATAGAAATCACAGACGTAAACGACAATGCACCAGAATTCAAAATTAACTCGTGTTACAGACTTTACGTTCCTGAAAATAACGATATTGCTGTGATTCATACAGTGGTTGCGAAAGATTTGGATGTGGGCCCTAATGGAGAGATTACGTATAGTATCACTGGGGGAAACGTGGGGAATAAATTTATCATTGATAATAAAACAGGAGCATTGACTGCGAAACCTCTAGACCGTGAATCGCATTCGAGGTATTACCTAACCATCACGGCTCAAGACCGAGGCAAACCCTCAATGATGGGTTTTTGCAATATCACTGTGATGGTCGAAGATCAGAATGATAATGACCCCAAATTTGATCTCTCCAAATACTCCACCACTATCCCTGAAGATATTTCAATTGATACTTCAATTATCAAAGTTCACGCTTCTGATGCTGATATGGGTGTCAATGCTCGAATCATCTATTCTTTAGCCAATGAAAGTCAGTGGTTATTTCGGATTGACAATAAAAGTGGAGTAATTACCACTGCAGGGTAAGTAAATTATTTTAATCGAATTTGTAGTTTTTCTATTGATTTTAATCACAGGTTATTCGATCGGGAGCTTCAGTCGGTCTACAATTTTTTAGTAGTTGCCACTGACAGTGGTAAATACAATGCTAGGTCACAAAGAGTGCCAGTTACAGTACGCATTGAAGATATTAATGACAACAAACCGATTTTCACCCAATATCCCTTTCGTGAACAAGTGGCAGCATACAAACAACCGGGTCAAACTATTCTTAAAATTACAGCAAAAGATGCTGACTTTGGCACCAACTCTGAGATTGTCTACAGTCTTGTTAATGACGGTTCCTACCCAAAATTTCGTATCAACCCCAATTCCGGTATTTTAACGGCAACCCAAAGTCTTGCAACTGAAAATGGCCGAGTTATTCACCTTAACATCATTGCTACCGACAAGGGTAACCCTCCTCGAAGTTCCACCGGACTTGTCGAAATAATCGTTGGCGAGATTCCCGAAGGAACGCCTCAATTGCGTTTCCAAAACTCCACTTACATAGTCAACATCCCCGAAAACACGGAAAAATTCAAAGACATTGTCCGAGTATCAGCAGTTCGCACCGATGGTCGTCGACAGCGAATCTTGTATTCATTCGGTACAGGAAACGAAGACAATATCTTTTACATCGACTCCGAAACTGGTGTTATTCAAGTCCACGACCCGAAAAACCTCGACTACGAACTTCACAAAGAAATACGACTTGTTGTCGAGGCGAAAACCGAAGGGGGTCCTGTTTTGCACGGATACTGCGAAGTTGTGATGCAACTAACCGATATCAACGACAACGCGCCTAAATTCACTCAACAACAATACTCCGCCTCGGTTTGGGAGGGTGACAAGAAAGGGGCTTTCGTGCTTCAAGTTGTCGCGTTTGATGATGATGAGGGACATAATTCGCGGATCCGGTACCACTTTCTTGACGGCAATCACGACAATGCGTTTAAAATCGAGCCTGAGTTCAGTGGAATTTTGAAAACTAACATTGTTCTGGATCGGGAAATTCGCGATAATTACAAATTGACTGTTATAGCAACTGATGAAGGTGTGCCCCAAATGACTGGAACGGCAAGAATTGTTATCAATGTGGTCGATGTTAATGATAATCAACCTACTTTTCCGCCCCCTGCGACCATCAATGTGAGTGAAGCGACTGAAGTTGGAACGGTTTTGACAACAGTGGCGGCTAACGACGTCGATACTAATCCTACTTTGACTTACGATTTTGCAAAAGACAATTCCAGAGAAGACTTAGAGTTTTTTAGTATCGATAGGTTTAGTGGGAAAATAATTTTAAAGAAAATGCTAGATTTTGAGACGTGGCAGGAGTATAAATTGAAAATTGTGGCTTCGGATACAGCGCACACCACCAAAACTACTCTTACGATCAAAGTCACCGATGTCAATGATAATGCTCCTGTGTTTTCGCAATTAGTTTATCAAACGAATTTACCAGATGGGCATTCGACCGAATTGAGTGATATTCTAACTGTCAACACTACCGACAGTGACTCAGGTGATAATGCTCGAGTGGAGTTTTTCCTACTTAACCCGATCCCGAGTTTTTCGATTGGACGCACCGATGGCATTTTACGTGCAAATTTATCAAACATATCGACTTCAAGTACACAAGATATTCAGCTTTATGTACAAGCGACTGATTTGGGGAAGCCTCCAATGAAATCAGTTGTGTCAGTCAGAATCAAGATTAACAGCAGATCCGGGCATGTGTCATCAAGTAATAAAAAAGATTACAAGTAAGTGTTAACATTAAAATACATGACATGTGTTAATTTTCTTTTTCTTTTAACAGAATTCAAATTCCTGAGAGTACGCCGAAGGGTACTATCGTACTTCATTTGGGAAAACCTCCTAATGTCCAAAAACAAGCCAGTTTTTACATAGTCGATGGTAATGAAGAAGGCGCTTTTGAGGTGTCAAGTTCTACCGGAGCTCTGATTGTTATCCAGACACTTGATCGGGAACATAGGGAGTCCTACAGTCTCAAAATTACCATCGGGGACTCATCAGTGATTGCCGTCTCGATCAATGTTGAAGATACAAATGATAATGCTCCTGTGTTTAAACAAACCGATTATGAGACTACCATCAGTGAAGGTACTCCGATTGGTACTTCCATCAAGAGATTTGAAGCGACTGATGGAGATTCATCAGGGCCAAACTCGGATATTACTTATGATATAACATCAGGGAACGACGAACATTTATTCCGATTGGACATGATATCTGGAGTACTGTTCGTCAATGGTACTCTTGACTATGATAATGGTATTACCGAGTACAATCTAGTGATTCGAGCATGTGATAGAGCTGCTATTCCTCTATGTACTCTCAATATTTTTGCGATTGAGCTTCAGGATGAGAACGACAACGAACCAAAATTCCCGGTATCGGAGTACTTGGAATTTGTTGGCGAGAACGAATCAGTTGGTACTTCTGTTTTCACAGCTCATGCTACTGATCTAGACAAGGGTGCTTTCGGATCTCTAAACTACTCTATCGTGAGTGCGAGTTCAGTTAATTACCCAGGAACCGACGATTCTTGGCGACTTTTTAACATCGATTCCTCCACCGGGATGGTCACAACCAACGTCATCTTTGATTACGAACAACAAAGCCGGTATGTGTTCATAGTGCGTGCGACGGACGTGGGAGGAAAATCCTCCAATGTGAAAGTGCGTGTTGAGATCGAAAGTAAGGACGAATTCCATCCGCAGTTTACGGAACGGACTTACAAATTCGTATTGGCGACTTCGGTGGTACTTCCGGTCGGGTATGTAGTGGGCCATGTGATAGCCACCGATCGCGACAAAGGGCCTGATGGACGTGTAGTGTATCAATTGACCACTCAACACTCCTACTTTAAGATAAACAGAACAACAGGTGCTGTGATAATCAAGAAAAAGTTTGATAATGAAGGACTGGAATCGGGGCGTGAAATCAGTCTAGTGGTGACCGCAAGCTCTGGACGTCAAGGTTCCTTAACAAACATGACAGTTGTTGAAATAACACTCGATCCGTTAGCCGATCCGGGCACCAATTTAGCCATAAATCGCGAAAATAACACCACCGTGGCAGCAGCCAACGGCGGAATCGCTGATTGGGCGTTGGGACTCTTAATCGCTCTGATTCTCCTACTAATCACATTCGGTGCTGTTTTTGTGTTCTTACACATGAGGAATAAACGTAATAAGAAGATTAACAAACCGAATTTGAACAGTGAAAGTGTCAGTACTTCTAATAATTACGTCGATCCGAGCGCGTTTGACACGATACCGATTCGGGGTGGTGGAGGGGTTGTTACTAGTGGTACTAATCAATTTGCCCCTCCGAAATACGACGAAATTCCTCCGTACGGCCCTGGACACGCCGCGAGTTCTAATTCGGGGGCTGCGACAACTTCGGAGTTGTCCGGGTCGGAACAATCAGGGTCAAGTGGGCGTGGATCAGCGGAGGACGGTGAAGATGGCGAAGATGAAGAAATTCGCATGATTAACGAAGGGCCACTTCAGAGGGATTCAGGAATTCACCGACAGAACGACGATGATGATAATTTATCCGATGTCTCTGTGAGGAACACTCAAGAGTATTTGGCACGACTTGGTATTGTGAATAGTAGCGGAGGAGTTCCACAAGGTACTTCTCGTCTTTGTTCCGACCCACGAGCTGGAAGTAGTAAGGAATCGATTCATCACCACCAAGGGGTCCCTCTCGACAGTCTCCACATTTTCGACGAAGAGGGTAACAATGAGAACGACATGACCTTAATCTATGCCAAGCTTAACGACGTCGCAGGCAGCGATAGAGCGAGTTCGACGGATGAAGGCGGAGGTGTCAATACTTCCACTTTGGAGCATGTTATGGCGATGGGGGGGTACGGAGAAGTACCAGCGGTGACGCACCAGCCCTCCATGAACGGCTCTCTCAGTTCCATTGTTCACAGTGAGGAGGAACTGGCAGGGAGTTACAACTGGGACTACCTCCTCGATTGGGGCCCCCAGTACCAACCTTTAGCTCACGTTTTTTCCGAGATTGCAAGACTGAAAGACGACACGGCGTCGGTGAAGAGCGGCGCAAGTGGCAATTCAAGTGTGAAGAGTAAAAATTCGGCGCCGGCGAAGAGCATTCCCCCGCCTTTGATCACGAGTGTGGCCCCCAGGTCTATAGCAATGCCCGTTTTGAATTCGAGAGGGGGTTCTAGTCATCACGCGGGAGGCCACAGTCAGATGATGATGTTGCCGAGGTCGCCCATCAACCATGACGCTTCAGGGGCGACTTTTAGCACGTCGACGGCGATGTCGCCGAGCTTTTCACCAAGTTTGTCACCTTTGGCTACTAAATCGCCGTCTATTTCGCCATTGGTGACGCCCGGGTTGCCGACGAGTCATCACGTGATGGGGCGACAACCACCCCAAACGAGGACGAAAACTGTGGTGGATGCGGAATTGCGGATTTGAGAGACTTTATTTTAAATCGGTGTACTATAATTTCGTGTATATAATTAAAAATGCTCACTAGGTAGTGTCCTTTCTACCTGCCATTTTTAGCCATAAAGACTAACTTTTTGTAATATGCTTTTTGTGTTTTGTATAAATTTTTCTTAAATTATTGTAGATATGTATGTAACTATTTTTTATTCATTGTATTTATAAAGAGCGATGAATCTAAATTATTGTCTATTTCGAATCTTGTTAACCAAATTGTGCTTGTTATTATGTTGATTATGAATGATCAAAGATGAATGTGACTAGTTTTTAGTACTAAATAATTGTGTCATAAGAAATGTTGATGCTGTATAAAAATGTACAAATAAAATAAATGAAAGTTTTCAAATAATCAGTTCTTTACTTTTCCAAAATTACATTAAAAACACTAAAATCAATACATATTTAAATCTATAAAGATTAGTTGTTATTTACAGCAAAATTTAACTAAATCTTAGGTATAAAGGTTAATACGCTTTACTTTTTAAGAGCCAAAGTTCGCCTTTCAATAGGAAACAAAAATAAATCTCACCAACAAAAGATAATGATAATAGGAGTACGAACTATTTTTGAAATATGCCTGTCAATGGGATGATTCTCATCAAAGTTGAAGATTTAAGTGACGATATAATTCCACATATCACCTGATCAATCAAAACACTGTGGATCAAACAATTATAAAAGAATTTAATTTTTCTTATACTTGCTGTGATATAAACATTGTTTTTATACATTTTTTTAATAAACCTGTTTCACACCAGTTTTTAATCGATGTAATCAAGATTAAAACAAGTGATCCGTGTTTAGGACGTGACTTGCATAGCAAAGGTCAAAAAGATACAAAGAAATCTGTTGTTGCTTGTAAACAATAAATTACGTTCTGGTATTATTTGGTAGGTGTTATCCTTTTCAAGTGTCCTAATTAAGATTTTTATAAAAGAAAAAAAACAGAATTAAAATTATTTTATGATAGACTGATTTAATCATATATAAAGGTGTTATAATTTAGTTGTAAAAACAGTGGGAGTCTTATTTAGGAGCCTAATAGTTTCCCAGAATTTGTTCTTAGTCAGTTATCAATAAAATAAAACAAAACCCTAGTTTCATGATGTCTTTTGAATCCAATAATTTCTTTTGAAAAAGTTGATCATATGAAAATGAAACACTTCAAAAACTCAAAACTTTGTACTATTTTTGGTATTTCTAAAATATGCTTTTGCAAATGAAATAAATTGATATTTTAACTCATGCGAGGTGTCCCAACTAAGATTTTCACGTTCAATAGCTCTCTTTTTAAGTCTTTATACAGAGAGATCAAAAAACGGCTACTTTGTTTTAAATTTAGTAATAATAGTATACATTTTCCAAACATAACAAAAACCAAGTTGTCTGAGAATGTATTTTGGGTTGCGTCTGAAAATCGGTCAGGGTCTTTATTATACAGGGTGTTTCACGTAATTTTACGAGACCTGCGCCTGTAAGATGCAATCAATAATACATATTCCGATACGAACTCGATTACAAATTGTGAAAAATTCGATAATCTTCTCTAGTTTGTTCACCCTTTCAAAAATTACAACGTTTTTAGTTAATTAGTGATTAAGATAGATAAACTAGAATCATATTCATGCCGTCTCTTGATAGAACAAATGATAATTGTTTCTGAAAAACTGCAGTTTATGACTATTAATGAAACAGTGATTAGTTTGACAACTACTGTCATGGGTTTCCAAAAATTAAATAATTAAATGTGTATTTTTTGTATCCAGTGTTGTGTGACTTGTGTATATTTGGGTGCGTACATTAGGCGCAAGCCTCGTAAAGTTATGTGAAACACCCTGTATAAATGACTGTATAATTCAAAAACAGAGATTATGTAGGTACTTAAAATTTAGACTATAAATAATTGATAATTCTTTACGAACCCAAGATACAAATCAAAAAAAAAACACAAACTTCTTCAAATTTATAAAAAAAAATTAAACTACTGTATGTCTTCAGATTGAGTTTACAAGAAGAAAAAAAATCTCTGAAAAAGGAGTAACTCAGAAATTACATTTTTGCTTAACATGAAACGACCAAATTGTAATTATTAAAACTTCATTATTCTGACCCAGTGGAAAGAAAAATTAAAGATAAAATTTTTCTTCTCTAATAAACTCAATCCAAAGACTGATATTCTATATTATGTAAGTTGATCAATGGCCCCGCCAGTGAAAAGCTGTAATCTAACGAAGTGTTACATTATTGAAAAACGATAGAATTTAGTTGAAATTAAAAGCTTAAATCCAAATTTTATGCCCAACTCAAAGTAACAACGTCGTAATAATAGAACTGAACTTAAAACAAGCACCGTAATTTATAGAAACTGAACATGTTACATGAAATTACCAAAAAAATGTTCAGTGTATTTTTTTTCTGATACGGTTGGTGCTAGTCGCTAACAATTTAATAAAGGCAGAGCATTAATTTTTTACACTTTAAAGACTATAATGAAATAAATAAATTAATTGTATGACTATATTAAAAAAAAAAAACATTCCACAAGGTTTTCAATATAATTAAATATGGTAAATATAAAAAAAAATTGTGTATTAAAAACATTTTGAAGAATATATATTACAATGTCTCCAATTTTTAGTTCGCAACCATAGAGATAGTATTATACTAATACTAGGTCCATGTTCGCAACGTATTAACAAAAATAGTGGGAGTAGTCTGCCGAAAGATATAACGGCCTAACCGCAAACCATCATTTCTAGGCCCCAATAAAGGGAGGAAAATACATTTTTCCAATACTGAGCCAGGTCCGTTTTGGTTACAGTTTTATGTTGGGGTGGTCATAAACTTATTAAAGATTCAAACCCATAAAAGGTTGTAAACACGGTATATCTTTTGGCAGAGTTTAATTCAAACAGTAGGTATTCTAACATCTCAGTTTTAAGAAAATTAAATACCTTAGTATTTTAAGAGATGTTAATAACATCATTATTTCTAAATTAAGATATGATTTTGCGTTATTTTACTCTTAAAATTATCGCAGAAGATAATAAAATCAGGTGAGACCAAACGCATATAAAAGTGGTATTAAAAATCCATACATCACACATCTCCTCATCCTCCTAAACTATTACTACAATGCATTTGCTATTTGCTTTTTTCGGTTTTATTCTCTTAGCAGTGTCCTCTGCTAACCCTATTCCAGCCGACGATGAAGATGCTCATCTCACAGTCGTAAGTTAACTTCTTTTCTTAATTTTGATGTTTTTAACACAGTTACTTATAGCCGGAACTCATCGCTAAATACGGTTACCCAGTGGAAGAACATCACGTTACAACTGAAGACGGCTATATCCTAACCCTCCACCGAATTCCCCATGGCAAAAATTCAAACAAGAGCTTGGGTAAAATTGCGTACCTCCAACATGGAGTATTGAGTTCCTCAGCTGACTGGATTATCACTGGAACAACCCATGGACTTGGTTACATATTAGCTGACGAAGGCTATGATGTTTGGATGGGCAATGCCAGAGGGAATAAACTTTCCCGAAACCACACCTCTCTAAATCCAGACACAGATTCCGAATTTTGGAAATTCAGTTGGCACCAAATTGGAACCATTGACATGCCAACAATGATCGACTATATCTTAGAAGTCACTAACCATACCAACCTTTATCACATTGGTCACTCTCAAGGAACCACCACTTTCTACGTCATGACTTCCATGCGTCCAGAATACAACGACAAAATCAAAGCGCATTTCAGTCTTGCTCCCATTGGTTACATGAATCATATGACCAGTCCTCTCATGCACATTATGGCTTTCTGGTCTGGACCTCTCGACCTACTTTTTAAGCTCATTGGAGTTAATGAATTTCTCCCAAGCAACGAATTTATGGCTTTGGTCGGAGACGTTCTCTGTGGCGACGATGACATTACACAAATTCTTTGTACCAATGCCCTATTCGCCATTTGCGGCTTCAGCGCATCTGAAATGAATGCAACGATTCTCCCGGTTTTGACAGGTCATACTCCTGCCGGATCTTCTGTAATGCAACTGATGCATTATGCACAAGAAATCAACTCGGGGGGTTTCCGTCAATATGATTTTGGTTTAGACAATTGGAGTCATTACCACTCTTTGACTCCTCCACCGTACGACTTGGCAAAAATCACGGCTCCTATTTATCTTTTCTATAGTCACAATGATTGGTTGTCTGCTGAACAAGACGTTATTAGACTTTGCAAAGGATTAGGTTCGGCTTGTGCTGGCAAATTTTTGGTTTCCGATAATGGCTTCAACCACTTGGACTATTTGTATGGAATTCACGCACCGGAATACGTTTACGACAGAGTCATCAGCTTGATGGCTAGGCATTAGAGAAGAATTTTGTGTATAAATTGTATAACTGTAACCTATCTATATAAACTGCTTTTAAATCAGTACTGTGTACTTGAACTTTTTAAACATTTCAGAGTAATTTTGTTCTGTCATTTAACATCTTATTTTGCCAACACAAGTGAATGATTCACAGTGATTGGAAGTAATGTATTACAGTAATGTAGTTTCTTTTTCTACTCCCAAATAGTAAGACATCAAGGATGCATTAAGTTGTGTCATCACTCATCAGTAAGACTCGTATTATATGGAAAATGCATATTTGTTGTTAAGAGGTATATCAACAAAAAATGTAAGTTTTTTATGCATAAGAGTATCTAATGTTTTTTAATGAAAATAAACCAATTAAAAAATGCATATTTTGGCAACTTCGTGCATATTTTAGGAAATATTGCATATTTGTGTTTCAGTCTAAGTTAATGTTAAGTTGTGTATATTTTCTTCACATTATTAAAAATTTCAATTCAAGTTAAAAATTGGATAATTTAAGAAAAATGATCCGACTACATAATATGTTAACGAGAAAATAACCGGTAATTCGTAAGCCGGACTCAAAGAATTAGTATCCTGCTGAGTGTTTTCTTTTTAAATTTGTTTTATACAGGGTGAAGTAAATCATTTGCCTATAGAAAACAATAATTAATATAAATTAAAGTAATTTACCAAATGTGATTGTATTTTGGGAACGAAATTTTGTTTTGTTTTCGAGTTATGCGATTTTTTTTCAAAATTGCAGTTTATGTAAAAAAAAATTTTTGTAATGTAACAAAGTAGCTAGTTGTAATCGTTAGATCATAACCTTCATGAAAAAAATGTTTTTTTAGTGGGTTGCCATTTAAAAAAATAAATATTTTTGTAGAACTCAAAAAATTGATCCCAACTTTAATTTTTTATTGTTAAAAGTAAATATCGATGCATATTTGGTATATGTTGGAGCATATTTTTTAATATCTTGTGCATATTTTTGTGAAAATACGTGAATATACAGTATGTCCTCGGATTGAGTTTACAAGAGGAAAACAAATTTTTATCTTTGATTTTACGCCAAAACTGCAAAGGAAAAACATTATTTGCTTCACTTGCAACAAGCAAATCTGTACTTAAAACTTCAATATTTTGATTCGGTGAAAAGAAAACCTAATTTTTCTCTTGATTTTCGACTTTGAATAATTTTTCTCTGCTTTTTAAGTCCTATCACATTGGCGGTTTTATTTATTTGACGACTATTTGTCACTTTGACAATTAATTTATTACTTAAATAACGATAGTTTTTGTTAACAATTACTGGTTTTTATCTTAAAGCTGTTTCTTTGAATTTATTTATTAAAATTATGTGTTTTACAAACATTTTTGTTATCTAACTTGCGTAAATTGGTTTGTTAAAGTGACATCATTATCAAAATAATAAAACCGCCAATGTGATAGGACCTAAAAAGCAGAGAAAAATTAGTCCAAAATCAAAGGAAAAATAAGCTTTTCTTTCTTTTTTTCTTGCGCATGTTTTACAAATTTTTGGTGCATGGTAAAAAGCAGAATTAAAATTATTTTATGATAGACTGATTTAATCATGCATAAAGATGTTATAATTTAGTTGTAAAAACAGTGTGAGTCTTATTTAAGGGCTTAATAATTTCCCAGAATTTGTTCTTAGTCATTTATCAATAAAATAAAACAAAACCCTAGTTTTATGATGTCTTTTGAATCCAATAATTTCTTTTGAAAAAGTTGATCATATGAAAGTGAAACTCTCTTCAAAAACTCAAAACTTTGTACTATTTTTGGTATTTCTAAAATATGCTTTTGAAAATGAAATAAATTGATATTTTAACTCATGCGAAATGTCCCAACTAAGATTTTCTCGTTCAATAGCTCTCTTTTTAAGTCTTTATACAGAGAGATCAAAAAACGGTTACTTTGATATAAATTTAATAACATACATTTTTCAAACATAACAAAAGCCAAGTTGTCTTTATTATAAATGACTGTGTAATTTAAAAACAGAGATTATGAAGGTACTTAAAATTTAGACTATAAATAATTGAAAATTCTTTACGAACCCTTCAAGATACAAATAAAAACACAAACTTCTTCAAATTTATAAAAAAAAATTAAACTACTTTATGTCTCCAAATTGAGTTTACAAGAAGAAAAAAAATCTCTGATTTTAAGCCAAAACTGCAAAGGAGTAACTCGGAAATTATATCTTTGCTTAACCTGAAACGAGCAAATTATTAAAACTTCATTATTCTTACCCAGTGGAAAGAAAAATTAAAGATAAAATTTTCCTTCTTTGTGTGTAACATTAAGTTACATTACATTAAGTGTTACATTATTGAAAAACGATAGAATTTAGTTGAAGTTAAAAGTTTAAATCCAAATTTTATGCCCAACTCAATCAAAGTAACAACGTCGTAATAATAGAACTGAAATTAAAACAACCACCGTAATTTATAGAAACTGAACATGTTACATGAAATTACAAAAAAAATGTTCAGTGTAATTTTTTTCTGATACGATTGGTGCTAGTCGCTAACAATTTAATAACTAAGGGCAAAGCATTAATTTTCTTACACTTTAACAACTATAAATTAATTAATTGTATGACTATATTTAAAAAAAACATTCCACAAGGTTTTGAATATAATTAAATATAGTAAATATAAAAAAGTTTTTTGTTTATTAAAAACATTTTGAAGAATAATGGCATATAACAATGTCTCCAATTTTTAGTTCGCAACGTATTAACAAAGATAGTAGGTGTAGTCTGCCGAAAGCTATATCGTGTTTACAACTTAATCCGGTATTTAACTTGCATTTTATTAAGGCCTAACCGCAAACCATCATTTCTATACCCCAGTAAAGGGAGGTAAACACATTTTCCCAATGCTGAGCCAGGTCCGTTTTGGTTACAGTTTTATGTTGGGGTGGTCATAAACTTATTAAAGTATCAAACCCATAAAAGGTTGTAAACACGGTATATCTTTCGGCAGAGTTTAATTCAAACAGTAGGTATTCAAACATCGCAGTTTTAAGAAAATTAAATACCTTAGTATAAAAGAGATGTTAATAACATCATTATTTCTAAATTAAGATATACTCGTATGATTTTGCGTTATTTTGCACTTAAAATTATCGCAGAAGATAATAAAGTCAGGTGAGATCAAACGCATATAAAAGTGGTATTAAAAATCGATACATCACACTTCTCCTCATCCTCCTAAACTATTACTACAATGCATTTGCTATTTGCTTTTTTCGGTTTTATTCTCTTAGCAGTGTCCTCTGCTAACCCTGTTCCAGCCGACGATGAAGATGCTCATCTTACAGTCGTAAGTTAACTTCGTTTTTTAGTTTTGATATTTTTAACACAGTTTCTTGTAGCCGGAACTCATCGCTAAATACGGTTACCCAGTGGAGGAGCATCACGTTACAACTGAAGACGGCTACATCCTAACCCTCCACCGAATTCCCCATGGCAAAAATTCAAACAAGAGCTTGGGCAAAATTGCGTACCTCCAACATGGATTATTGAGTTCCTCAGCCGACTGGATCATCACTGGAACAACCCACGGACTTGGTTACATATTAGCTGACGAAGGCTATGATGTTTGGATGGGCAATGCCAGAGGGAATAAACTTTCCCGAAACCACACGTCTCTAAATCCAGACAAAGATTCCGAATTTTGGAAATTCAGTTGGCACCAAATTGGAGCCATTGACGTGCCAACAATGATCGATTATATCTTAGAACTCACCAACCAAACCAACCTTTATCACATTGGTCACTCTCAAGGAACCACCAGTTACTACGTCATGACTTCCATGCGTCCAGAATACAACGACAAAATCAAAGCGCATTTCAGTCTTGCACCCATTGGTTACATGAACCATATGACCAGTCCTCTCATGCACATTATGGCTTTCTGGTCTGGACCTCTCGACCTTCTTTTTAACCTCATTGGAGTTAATGAATTTCTCCCAAGCAACGAATTTATGGCTTTGGTCGGAAACGTTCTCTGTGGCGACGACGACATTACACAAATTCTTTGTACCAATGCCCTATTCGCCGTTTGCGGCTTCAGCGCTTCTGAAATGAATGCAACGATTCTCCCGGTTTTGACAGGTCATACTCCTGCAGGAGCTTCTGTAATGCAAGTGATGCATTATGCGCAAGAAATCAACTCGGGGGGTTTCCGTCAATATGATTTTGGTTTAGACAATTGGAATCATTATCACTCTTTGACTCCTCCACCATACGACTTGTCAAAAATCACAGCTCCTATTTATCTTTTCTATAGTCACAATGATTGGCTGTCTGCTGAACAAGACGTTATCAAACTTTGCAAAGGATTAGGTTCGGCTTGTGCTGGCAAATTTTTGGTTTCCGATAATGGCTTCAACCACTTGGACTATATGTTTGGAATTCACGCACCGGAATACGTTTACGACAGAGTCATCAGCTTGATGGCTAGGCATTAGAGAACAATTTTGTGTATAAATATGTAAACTGCTTTTAAATCAGTACTGTGTACTTGAACTTATTAAACATTTCAGAGTAATTTTGTTCTGTCATTTAACATCTTACTTTGCCAACACAAGTGAATGATACACAGTGATTGGAGGTAATGCATTACAGTAATGTTTCTTTTTCTACTCCCAAATAGTAAGACATCAAGGATGCATTAAGTTATGTCATCACTCATCAGTAAGACTCGTATTATATGCAAAATGCATATTTGTTGTTAAGAGGTATGTCAACAAAATTGTAAGTTTTCTATTCATATCTAATGTTTTTTGATCAAAATAAACCAATTAAAAAATGCATATTTTGGCAACTTCGTGCATATTTTAAGAAATACATATTGCATATTTGTGCATATTTTCTTCAAATCAATCAAATTTCTGATTTAAAATTTCAATTCAAGTTAAAAATTGGAGGATTTAAAAAAAAATGATCTGATTACAAAATATCTTAAAGAGAAAATAACCGGCAATTCGAAAGCCGGACTCAAAGAATTAGTATCCTGCTGAGTGTTTTCTTTTTAAATTTGTTTTATACAGGGTCAACTAAGCAGTTTTTTTTAAATCATTTGCCTATAGAAAATAATAATTAATATAAATTAAAACAATATACAATATGTGATTGTATTTTGGGAACGAAATTTTGTTTTGTTTTTGAGTTATGCGATTTTTTTGTCAAAATTGCAGTTTATGTAAAAAAAAAATTGTAATTTAATACACTGACTGACACGGAATTCTGGACGATTTGTCATTTGACTGACATAAAAATGTAAAACGGACCTTAAGCAACTAACCCCACTTTCGGTTTTTGTAAAAAATTAAATTTTAATTAAAACTTTCAAATTTTAGTTTCAAATGTCAATCATGATGACAATAAAGCGTTGCTTACATTGACATTTTTCGAACTGACATAAATTTGATGTCCAAAATTCCGTGTCCGCAGTGTATAAAGTAGCTAGTTGTAATCATTAGATCATAACCTTCATGAAGTGGGTTAGTGGGTTGCCATTTAAAAAAATAAATGTTTGTAGAACTTAATAACAAAAAAAATTCGAAAATTTTTATTCTTGATAAAACATTACATTTTTATAGTATTTTATCATTCATCAAATAGTTTTTACAAAAAAGAAATGTTATTAAAAACCAATTTAATTACTCTCTTTCGTTCATTGTGTGCAGTTGAGAATGTCGAAATTACAAAGGTTATTGTACTTGATAATAAAAATTTATGCCAACTTTAATTTTTTATTGTTAAAAGTTTTGCATATCGATGCATATTTGACATATGTTGTAGCATATTTTTTAATATTTTTATATTATTTATATTTAATTTTTTAATATATTGTGCATAGTTTTGTGAAAATACGTGCATAGACAGTATGTCCTCGGATTGAGTTTACAAGAGGAAAAAAAATTTATCTTTGATTTTACCCCAAAACTGCAAAAGAAAAACATTATTTGCTTCACCTGCAACAAGCAAATCTGTACTTAAAACTTCAATATTTCGATTCGGTGAAAAGAACACCTAATTTTTCTCTTGATTTTCGACTTTGAATAGTTTTTCTCTGCTTTTTAAATCCTATCACATTGGCGGTTTTATTTATTTGAGAAAACTATCAACAGAAATGTCGTTTTGGTGGTCTTGCCAGTGCAGTGTCATAGTCAGTGTTGAAAAGGAAATGAAAAAACTTGATAGAAGTTTGGAAGATGCCTGACAATTATGAAATTGTGACAAAGACAACGTCAAAAAACTGGACTTTATTAAGAAGTCAAATCACATTATAAAAAAATCAATTTGCGTTTTTTTTTGCACTCAAGTGTATATTGTCACTTTGACAATTAGGTAATTTGTTACTTAAATAATGATAGTTCTTGTTAAAAATGACTTTGCTTTTTATCTTAAAGCTGTTTCTTTGAGTTGTTATTTATTATGTGTTTATCAAACATTTTTGTTATCTAACTTGAAAAATAAGCTTTTCTTTCTACTGAGTTAGAATAATAAAGTTTTAATTACAGATTTGCTCGTTTCAGGTAAAGCAAAAAATGTTTTTCCTTTGGAGTTTTCGCGTAAAATCAAAAATAAAAAATGTTTTCCTCTTGTAAACCCAATCCGGGGACATACTGTATATGCGCATATTTTACGAATTTTTGGTGCATATAATCCGAGCCTTACTCATCAGTAACTAAGGCAATATGAACACTAGCAAGTAATGAACCTATTAGACACATGTACTCACGTATACAGTGAGTTTTTTATAATGCTGAACATAGCCCTATGTTCAGTTTAAAAAAAACAACATGTTAAAATCATATTTTAACGGCTAAAGTTGTTTTAGTAATGCGATATTATTTATAAATACTCTACGTTTTAAATTTCGTTTGAATCCGTTGACAAATAATAGGATACACTTCCTTTCTTTGTAATACAAAACTATTTTACGATAAGCTGTAAAATTGTATTTTTTTTGTTTTGTTTCGTGATGTATTGTAAATGCTTGTTTATTTATTTTGTATTTTATTTGAAGAACAATGCAATTATAATTTTTCTGTGATTGCAATCTGCTAAGTCGAATTCTCAAGATTGTAAGATTAGAATTCAAAATTAAAAACACCATAATCAAAAAGACTATATTATCAAAATCTTAAAATCTGAAGCACTTTAAGAATGATAACAAACGTCAGGTGTAAATCACAAAATGGAAAATATATCAGCAGGTGCAACTCGAAAAAACATCATTTGGTTTTAAATCTTAGTAGTAAAAATGCTTCTCTTAAAAACAATTCCAAGTGTTTTGCTGCTTGTATATTGTTCAGCTGTCCCAACACCCCAATTAACATCCGATGAAGATGCCCATCTCACCGTTGTAAGTTATTAGAAAAAAGAGTAAGACTTTTTTAACAGACAGAAAATTTTAAGCCGGAACTCATCACCAAATATGGATATCCAGTCGAAGTGCACCACGTCACCACCACTGATGGCTACATCCTGACCCTCCATCGAATCCCCCACGGCAAAAACACTGACAAAGTATTAAACAAAGTTGTTTTCCTAATGCACGGACTTTTGTGCTCTTCCGCCGATTGGATCCTCACTGGGCCTGACCACGCTCTTGGTTATCGCCTCGCAGATGAAGGTTACGACGTTTGGATGGGCAATGCTCGTGGTAACCATCAATCCCGGAACCATACCAGACTTAACCCCGACACCGACGCCGAATTTTGGCAATTCAGTTGGCACGAAATTGGGGCTATTGACGTTCCCGCAATGATCGACCACGTGTTGGAGGTCACAGGTAAGGAGAGTCTCTACCACGTGGGACACTCCCAAGGAACCACAAGTTTCTACGTCATGGGTTCCATGCGTCCGGAGTACAACAGCAAAATCAAAGCGCATTTCAGTCTGGCACCAGTGGGGTACATGAACCACATGACCAGTCCTCTAATGCACATCATGGCTTTCTGGTCCGGTCCTCTAGATTTACTCTTTAAACTAATCGGAGTGAACGAATTTCTCCCAACCAACGAATTTTTAGCAATGATAGGAGACACGTTCTGTAGCGACGGTGACATAACCCAATTTCTTTGCTCAAATGCACTTTTTGCGATTTGTGGGTTTAGCCCAAAACAGATGAATGCGTCCATGTTTCCAGTTTTGACTGGACACACTCCTGCTGGAGCTTCGACCAGACAATTGGTTCATTACGCACAAGAAATTAACTCGGGAGCTTTCCGCCAGTTTGATTTTGGGTTAAAAAATCTGGAAATTTATGGATCTTTCACTCCGCCTTCCTACGATTTGAAACTTATTACAGCACCGATTTATCTTTTCTATAGTCACAATGACTGGATGGCGGGTGAACAAGACGTTATCAGGCTTTGTAACGGCTTGGGAGACAGTTGTAAAGGCAAATTTTTAGTTTCTGACAACGCTTTCAACCATCTGGATTACTTGTATGGAATCAGTGCCCCACAAATTGTCTATGACCGGCTGATCAGTTTAATGGCAAGACATTAATTAAAATATACCATGTATAATTATTAAACAAAATAAAAAATATAATAATAGAAACCCTCAACAGGTCATTCATCGCATTTTTTAACTATTGTATTCCCCAATTTCCCAACTATTCTGATAAGACAATAGCCTTCAGAGAAACTATAAATTCGAATCATCTAATTGATAAATAACACTCCCAAAAATGTTTATCCTGACTTTTCCAATTATTTTCCTTTCGACAATTATAAAAAATTCTTTAACAGAAAATGTGTTAAAAACTCTCCCTCCTTCGTTACAAGATGAAGTCAATTTAACCACTGTGAGTACAAATTTCAAATTACCCAAAGCGAAATATAATTTTTCAGCCGCAAATAATCACAAAATACAATTACTCGTCTGAAATTCACAATGTTGTTACCGAAGATGGTTACATCTTAGCCCTCCATCGCATACTCCCCCAAAAACCCTACAAGGGCTCAGTTCTGGTGATGCATGGAATTTTAGCATCTTCAGCTGATTGGATCATAACAGGGCCTCATCACGGCCTTGGTTATCTTTTATCAGATGAGGGTTACGACGTATGGTTGGGAAATGCCCGAGGAAACCGTTATTCCAAAAACCATACAATGTTGGATCCCAAATCGAAAAAGTTTTGGGACTTTTCTTGGCACGAAATCGGTTTATATGACATACCGGCAATGATCGACCATATACTTGAGGTTACAAACCAAAAGAAGATTTTCCACATAGCACACTCTCAAGGGACTACTACTTTTTATGTCATGTGTTCACTCAAACCGGAATACAACGAAAAAATTCGGGCACATTTTAGTCTAGCACCTGTTGCGTTTGTAAGTCACATGTTTAGCCCGATTTTTCATGCGATTGCAGCCGCTGATGTAGTATTTGAGGTAAATACACATTTTTTTCTACTCTTTTGAACCTAAACTTTAGGAAATGGCTACTTTCATTAATTTGAATGAAATTATGCCTGAGGGGGGACTTGTCAGTAAGTTAGGACAGAAACTTTGTGGAATAAATACTCTAACGAAGATTTTATGCAGTAACACGCTTTTTGCAATTTGTGGTTTTGATTGCAAGCAATTGAATGCAACACTGCTTCCATTATTTTTAGCTCATGTCCCTGCAGGTTGTTCGTCGAAACAGTTGTTACATTATGCACAAGAAATTAACTCTGGTAAAAAATTGTAAACTGGTATTCGTGAAAATAATTATTATTTTAGGCCATTTTCGTCAATACGATTACGGTTTTTGGACAAATTTGAAACGTTATCACTCACTTAAACCGCCAGATTATGACTTAAGTCAAATTTCTGCTCCTTTATACTTTTTCTATAGTAAAAATGATTGGATTTCATCGGCTTGGGATGTCGGAATTTTTGCTAAAAAACTTAAAAATTTAAAAGGCAAATTTCTAATTTCCTATGACAATTTTAACCACATGGACTATTTGTTTGGAATTGACGCTCCAAAATACGTTTATAACAAAATTATAAGTTTAATGACAAGACATTTACAATAATAAATTCAAACAATATACATGTTTGTTTTTATTTTAAATTAAAGTTTTAAAGTAATTAGTTTAGGCAAAAAACGCTTGGTTCCATACTTTTTATTCACCCGGTATCTAAACCTATAAAATTATGCTCGACTTTCATGGCTCAAAAAAGCCTAAAAATGACTAAATTTACATTGAAAAAACATGACCAAGGATGCTTTACTTAAATTACCTGCATAAACAGTTTTGTTATTGTATATTATTAATGTAATATCAAATGATCTTATCATTTCTTTAATTGATATGTTATCTTTTGTCTTAGTGACATATGTTTACTACATTATTTACAAATTAATAAAACAAAGTTTTTTCATAAACTTAATCATCTATGTTAAGATTAAAGCAATATCGAGAGCCACTTAACGTTTCTTTATTATCAATTAAGATTAAAAATATTGAATTGATACTGATATGAAATAGGGAAATATTTAAAAAGAAATTATCACTGATAAGTATACAAACTAATACATATGAACCTGTTCAGAATAACAGTTAAATTTTTAAGGATTCTGCCTTATTTTGAGTGGTTTAGGCTAAAAAATTTACATTCCGAAAAACAGCTAAATTTTTAGGATTTTGACCTGTTTTTAAGGTATATTAAAAAAAAGTTAAAATGTCAAGGCGTATTTTGAAAAAAGTTACAATTTGCCTTCGATGTGCTGAATTTCGAGGCAAAAGTTATTTTATTACCAGCAAATAAATCAAGTTTATTTCTTTTCAATTAAGAGTATAAGGAATTATTTAATAATGCCATAATCACAACAAAACAAACAGATGTCAATGTAAAAATAAATTTATTCGTACCTAATCGTTGTTTAAATATACATACATCTAAAACTACAAAGATATAAAAGTTAGTTTTCTATTTATGTAGGTTGCGAACTTAACAATTTCGTCAGTCTTGACATGGATTTTTTATTGCAACAATATCTGAGATTTATGAACTAGTACCTATATACTTAATGCTTAAAAACTGGAACTTGCTTATAATTTTAAAAAAATATTCAAGTCTAGACATATTACCATCTAACAACAAATTAAATTAAGTAAGATGTTCAAGTTTCAATTAAGTACTCGTATAATAATTCTGTAAATACGGATACGGATTTTGTTGATAGATCATCATGGGTTATCATGAATCGATGGGTCGTCTGACTCAAACTTTATTTATTTAGTTAGTTGTTTTTTATACAAGCAGACCAAAATGCCTTAACATTCAGCGTAGTTTCATGAAAGAAAGGCAAATTTGACTCTTTTTCAAAAATACCTACCTTAAAAATAGGCCGAAATGCCTCGACGTTTTAACTTTTTTTAATATATCTTTAAAACAGGACAAAACCCTAAAATTTAGCTATTTTTCGAAAGATAATTTTTTTAGCCGAAACCCTTAGAAAAAGGCTGAATCCTTGTTGTCCTGAACAGGCCCGGCGAATATTACAAGAGTTCACAAAATTGTTCTATTATAATCAGTTTATAAAGCTTGATTATGATGAATTATGTGATTGAATTATTGTAAGATACTCGATTTTCAAGTAATTTTGGGATTAACTAAATAATTGATAGTCTGATATCTAAAAAAATAATTATTGTACTAGACATGTATTTTATTTATTTTGCAATTTGTAAAAAAAACTAATTGTGTTTCATGCCTGAAGCATCCTGTATGCTGAAAATTTTAAAGATTTTCATTTTTTAACAGGTAATTCGTTTATATCTTTGTCCACTGTGTATAAAATATACTACATACAAAATTATTAACAAGCAATGAGGCCTATTCTGTAGGTAATTGAAGTGTTAACAGCATGCCTTTAAAAAATTAACAGAGTTGTTAAATGATTGTTAAACTAAAATGGCAGCAGTTGCAGGGTCTTTATTTTTACAAAATGAAGAAGAAGAGGAGAAGACAACATACCGCCTTTAAAATAGTTTTATATTTGTAGCAATAACAATGTTATTAATTTTTTTAGTCGTCGCTTGCGATTAATTAATAGAAACTTGTGTGATGCTGCAAATACATTGTAACGGCGCATCTAATAAACCTTTGGATAAAATCTCCTCAAACAGATTAAAAATAAATAATAAAAAACGATGATTTCTTCAAAATTATGACGGCACACATGTAGCAATTTCAACAGGGGAATTATGCGCAAGACAAGACTGACAAGACGTCTAGAGAAGTCTTTTCTGTGTAAACCCAATACAAAATGTATGAAAAAATGAAACATTAAAGGTAGGTAGTAAACAGTTTTTTTTATAAATCATAAATTGCTTGTCAATGCACTGTCAGAGCAACATAAGATAACTTGTTTGCAAATGCAAATCGTAATTAAAATTAGATCAAAACGTAAATGAAATTTGTTTTTTGGGTTGCATCGCTAGATCGTCAGGCTCATTATCTTATCTGAATTGCCCTGTATAGAGCCAATATAAAGTTAAATTAGCTGTTTTTAAAAGTATTGCGATATAGCAACAGCCTTGTTATAAATATTAGCATAACAGAAGTGTTTTGTACTGAATAAGAATTTGTGTTAAATTTTTAACAGGCATTTTATAATTCAACATTTAACAGGACTGTTACTTTTAGCACAAAATGTGCAGAATACGATTCAATATAAGAAAATGACTTTCGACATTTTGAATAAGGTTCACTCTACCAAAATATCTACAACAGCCATATTGTCACACTCCTGATTAGAAATACCGCCCATCATACTACTAATCGTATTAGACCACACCCAAAAATGGCTCCGACAATGACTTCCAGAACATTCAATTAACATTGATAATAACTAATCATTTTTTTATAATTGCTTTAAAAAGACAGTAGTCCCTATTGTATTCTAGTTTGATAAGTAAATAAATCATGTTTCGTAATTTAATGGAAAATATCTGGAAATAAGTACTACAACCACCTGAGATAAAATCTATTATAAGTAAAATAACGGATTTGTTTTATCGCCTAATGGTCAATGTATGTCGTACATAAGTATTTGTAAAGCACAGTTTTAAAATTAAAAAATAACATTATGTTAATGAATCTCAGCGTTCCGCACTATAATTACAAATGGTGTAAATTACTCTACGTTTTAGTTACACAAAATCGATTAGCTAGAGCCACGGACGGAAGACCACAGTCCAATTTACAAAAATCAATCATTTTAAACAAACAAGAGATTAAGTAGGTGATAAGCTGTTTCAATTGTGTGATATTTTGCAAAAAAAGTCAAACCGACGCCTCGGTTTATCTATAAAAGCATCGCGATTTTTTAAAAACATCATTCAAAATGTTGACTTTGATGGTTTTCTCCCTCATGGGATTGGTCCATTCCTCGGCCATCCCCCCTAACAATCTCAGACTTGATTACCAGGTTTTGAGTGACCAAGAAGATGCCAAACTTAGTGTGGTATGTAATTCGATTTTGAAACAATTAATTTTATTATAAAATAAAATTCTAGCCAGAAATTATTAACAAGTATGGCTATCCGTGCGAAGAGTACCATGTGATTACTCCTGATAATTACATCCTAACCCTCCACCGAATCCCTCACGGACGCACCCCTAATAATCACCCCAAGGAAGTCGCTTATCTCCAACACGGAATTCTCTCTTCTTCAGCCGATTGGATTATTTCAGGGCCTGAAAAAGGCCTAGCTTATGTCCTCGCAGACGAGGGATACGACGTCTGGATGGGCAATGCCCGAGGGAACAAACTTTCAAGGAATCACACTTATCTCAACCCGGACACTTCCGACGAGTTTTGGGACTTCAGTTGGCACGAAATCGGGTATTATGACATACCCACTATGATCGATTTCGTCCTGGAACAAACCGGAAAAGACAACCTCTTCCACATTGGTCACTCTCAAGGAACCACCACTTTCTACGTCATGACCTCAATGCGACCTGACTACAACGCCAAAATCAAAGCTCACTTCAGTCTTGCACCTATCGCCTACATGAACCACATGACTAGTCCCCTAATGCACCTCATAGCCTTTTGGGAGAAGCCCCTTAATGCCCTTTTGAACCTCATTGGGATTCGAGAATTTTTACCAAGTAACGAATTTATATCAATGGGTGGTAACATTTTGTGCGGAGATGATTCCCTAACTCAGATTCTTTGCAAAAACGCATTGTTTGCCATTTGTGGGTTCAGTCCAAAAGAAATGAATGGGACTCTTCTGCCCATTATGAGTGGGCACACCCCTGCTGGGGCCTCAACTAAACAATTTATGCATTATGCCCAGGAAATCAATTCGGGATATTTTCGCCGTTTTAGTTATGGATGGTTTGAAAATTTGCAAAAGTACGGATCTATCCGACCCCCAAGTTACGATCTTAAGAAAATTACAGCACCAGTTTACTTGCTTTATAGTAAAAATGATTGGTTAGCTGGTAAAATCGATGTTGATAGATTATACAAAAGTTTAGCGAATGTCAAAGGACGATTTTTGGTAGCGGAAGAGTCGTTTAACCACCTGGACTTTGTGTTTGGTATAAGGTCACGAGAGTTGATTTATAATAAACTCATAAGTTTGATGGCAAAACATTAACGGCATTTACATTAAATGCTTGGCAACAAATCGATAAATTGATGCGTCAACAGTCTTTATCACAGTATTAATAAATTGTTAATTATAAAACGTTGTCTAATTTCCTATAAAACCTCAAGCTTGCAAATTTAAGATTACAAAACTCTGTAATAAGCAAAACTATTTTCATTTTGCGATATTAACAAGTATAAAACGGAGAAATGATAATAGAATTACTAGTTCCTCAAAATGAAACTCTTTGTGTTGGTCACTTTGGTCTCAGTTGCCTTTGGCAAAAACCTCCCAAATCAAAATGCGAGAATCGTAAGTACAAATTTTGATTCCAACTAGTCTTCCACTTTGGTACTTTTAGTCAAAAATGGTAACCACCTATGGTTACCCTTTGGAAACCTACAAAGTCACCACTGATGATGGCTACCTCTTGGACCTTTTCCGAATCCCTCACGGGATTCAAAATAAGAACCAACACGACTCCCAAAGACCGGCAGTACTCCTCATGCATGGTTTCCTCTCATGTTGTGAAGACTTCGTCGCAGGAGGGCCGTCCCAAGGCTTGGCTTTCTACCTTGCTGATAAAGGTTACGACGTTTATTTGGGCAATTCCAGAGGTAGTCCTTATGGCCAACAGCATACCAGTTTAGATCCACACAAAGACGCCGCTTTCTGGAGATTTAGGTAAGTACCATTCACTTGAAAAGTACCACTTCACTTGCAACAGTTTTCATGAAATTGGGGTTGCCGATATGGCGGCGATTATCGATCAAGTCGTTTCGATAAGCCAACAAAATAAGATCCACTATGTTGGTCACATGGAAGGAGCAACAGTTTTCTATATTTTAGCATCCCAAAAGAAAGGATATAACAACAAAATTGAGAAGATGGCCTCTTTAGGCCCCATTGCCTACTTGAAAAAAGCTCCTCATCAGATCCTTAAAAAAATCGCAGAAAATTACAAATCTAAGAGCGTAAGTGGTCCTCAAAAATCGTAATAGATTACTGATATTTTTGTAGTGGGTTATTAAAAATGTCGGTATGAGTACATTCAACCCATCCTCCGAATTGACAAGCGAAGCCCAAAATCAGTGTAGTAACCTTGAGCAAAAAGAACAAATCTGTCGCAACGATTATTTCCTTTTCAATGGCTACAATTCGAAAAATTTCAATGAAGTATGGTTATTTTTTCGATGATATAATGATTGTTACAATCTGCTTTTTCTAGACTACCATTCAAGATGTTGTTTCTAGACGCCCATGTTTGGGTTCCGTCCGCCAAGTTTTGCATTTGGCCCAAATGAAAGACAGTGGTCGTTTTGAAAGTTACACTTTCCCAGAAAAAACCGACTCTTATGAATATGACCTCTCTCAAGTTTCGGCCCCAGTGGCCATTTTCTACACCCCTGAAGATGCATTATCTCATGTCGATGATGTTGATGCTTTAGCCAAACAGTTACCAAATGTTTACAAGAAAGAAGTTGAGAGTGACTTCACCAACAATCTTGACTTTCTCTACGCAGAGAATATTTACAAATTCTATAAATATGTCACTGAGAGTTTTCAGGAAGACCAACGCAAAAGAAACACAAATATGTTGTTTTAAATCAAATTGAATAATAAAATTGTCAATTCCTCTTCAGGTGTTTTAATTGCAAGGTCATGACTTCGCACATCAAAAAGTCATTTTATCATTAAATTATCTGACACAATTGCCCTACAAAAAGCGATAAAATCACATAATGTGAGTATGCATCAGAGCCACATATAAAAAAGAGCCAAAACAAAAGCTTAGCTATTCGATTGTTTGAAATGTACAGATTTGGTGCTATTTTATTGCTAGTAGGGTCAATCGGGACCATTCCACTTAAACCCGAGTTCCTCCACCCTGACGCTGGCCTTGACATTGTAAGTCACCCCAAATCCCACAACCTCATCATTTTTCATACTCCAGATTGAGTTAGTCCAAAAATATGGATACCCAATTGAATCCCATCAAGTCCAAACTGAAGACGGTTACCTACTAACTCTTCATCGTATTCCCCGAGGGTTGAATAACACCCTCGAAACCACACGACCCCCAGTTTTGCTCATGCATGGCCTTCTTAGCAGTTCAGTGGATTGGGTAAATATGGGCCCTGGGACCGCTCTAGGGCTACTTTTGGCAGACAATGGGTACGATGTCTGGCTAGGTAACCAGAGGGGCAGTACATGGTCCAGAAAACACCAAACGCTTGACCCAGACACCGACGCGGAAAAATTCTTCAACTTCAGTTTTCACGAAATTGGATATTTTGACATACCAGCCAAAATCGACTACATTTTAGACACGACGGGTCAAGAGAAAATTTTTTACGTTGGACACTCACAAGGTACTACAGTTTTCTTTGTAATGGCAAGTGAAAGACCTGAATATAATGCGAAAATCAGGTTGATGTCAGCCTTGGCCCCCATTGCCTACATGGGGCATTTGCCGAATCCTTTGATATTTCAAGTGGCCGAACATTACGACGTTATAAATGTGAGTTGGATGGGAATTTGACCAAAAACAATTATTTATTATTATTTTTAGACACTTGTAGAAATTTTACACATACATGAATTTCTTCCACATTATGATTTTATTACCGAATTAGGAGAAACTTTTTGTAGCAACAGCTCTGACTACAGGGATGCTTGCTACTGGATTCTGAATATTATCGCGGGTTTTGATTCGGAAGTGGACCCTGTAATAAATCTAATACTTGCATCAAAATGTTAAAATTTATATTTTAGGATTTCATTCCTGTCATTACATCAAACGCTCCTGCTGGTTCTTGCATAAAGCAATTTCTCCACTATTTCCAAGAGATTAAGTCTTCCAATTTCTCACAGTATGATTACGGAGAAGACGAAAATGACGCTCATTATGGTCAAAAAACACCCCCATTATATGACACGTCAAAAATTACGGCTCCTGTGAGTCTACATTATGCCAGCAATGACTGGCTTGCTGCTCTTGAAGATGTAGAAAGACTCAAGAACGAACTACCAAATTTGGTCAATGCTAAATTGGTACCTTTTGACCATTTTAACCACCTTGACTTCTTATGGGCCAGACATGTTGTTCCATATTTAAACAACGATGTAATCGAAGAAATAAAATCTAATTAAATTGTTGTCGTTTTTTATTGGTTATATAATAAGGAAACAGACATGTAAATAATAAATTTCCAGTATGAAGGTCAATAGGCCACATTTTTGATTTATCTTATCGTCTCCAGTCTTCTCCATTATTTATTAACACAGTCAACACCGAAGATGTTCAACAAAGATATCTTTAGTCTAGTGGTAATTGTTATTAGTTCTATAATTTTAGTCGAAATTTTCAACACTTCCAAACCGAAACATCCAGATGCTGGACTAAATATTGTAAGTTCAATGTTTAAAAAAGTGATTTTATTAGAAAATTTTAGCTGCAACTTGTGGAAAAATATGGTTACCTTATTGAAACTCATGAAGTTGTCACCGAAGACGGTTATATTCTAACTCTACATAGGATTGGTCAAAAGAACAATGTTGAAAAACGAGATCCAGTGCTCTTTATGCACGGTTTTATGCAAAGTGCCACGGATTTTATTAATTTGGGTCCTGGGAAAGCTTTGAGTTTGCTACTTTCAGACAGAGGGTATGATATTTGGCTGGGGAATACAAGAGGGACTACTTGGTCCAGAAAACACAAAGTTTTTAATCCTGACAAGGACGGCGAATTTTGGGATTTTAGGTACGTAACTAATATTTTGAGGATTTTAAAACTTTGAGGTCTGTTTTTATAGTTTACACGAAATTGGTATTTACGACAATCCTGCTTTCATTGATTACGTTTTGAATGTAACTGGAAAAAAATCGTTACATTATATTGGTTATTCTCAAGGCACTACAACGTTTTTCATACTGGGATCCGAAAAACCTAAATATGTAAAAAAAGTCAAATTAATGACAGCTTTAGCCCCTGCAATCTACATAAAAAACCCAAAAGGACCCCTTTTAACGTTTCTTGTATATTTTAGACGCCTCTGGGAGGTAAAGCAATGTAAAACTTTGCACCTAACATAATTAAAATAATTTTGTAGATTCTACTAAAATTTTTCAACTTTCAAGAATTCTTTCCTAGAAATGGCTTAGTGGCACATTACTTAAAACACATTTGTAATGAAAATTCTATGTTTGTCGATTTGTGTTTACTTAAAATCTTCCTCCTTAATGGTTACAGTCACGAACAGACAAATAGAGTAAATTTTCTATATTTTTAAAACTTTTATATCACATTAGTTTTAGACGCTGCTCTCCCTAATATTTTCCAATACTCCAGCAGGCGTTTCACCAAAACAAATGATGCATATAGTCCAGTTAATGGAATCTGGTAATCTTCACCAATACGATTTAGGTGTTGCCAAAAATTGCAAAAAATATGGGCAAAAAGAACCTCCACAATACAATTTATCGAAAATTACAAATCCGGTTGCTTTGTACTATTCGAGTAATGATTGGACTGTCAATATAGAGGTGAGTTTTGAATTGTTACACATTCAAATTTAAAAATTTTTATTTTTAGAATATAGAAAGAGTAGTTAAAGCTTTGCCAAATGTTGTTAAAAGTTACCATGTACCAATGGAAAGTTTTAACCACAATGACTTTATCTATGGCCAAGATGCCCCTGAACTTCTGTATAAAGCAGTAATAGAAGAAATTTTAAAATATTAGGCAAAAAATAAGATTGATTCTTAGTTTTTCCATTTAGTTCGTTATCTAAATTCAATTTGAGTGAATGACTAATAACTTAGTGTCTGTTTTGTATATTTATATGACTTGCAACAAAAAAAAAAAGATAAGCAGCTTGGAGATTGTAAAGTACATTATGTAATATAAATTGCTCAAGTAACAGTTAAGGTAGTTTATGCATACAAATATTTTCATTTTTCAATTCATTTCTACAAATAAATAAATATCTCTGCCCATTTCTACTTCCTCCTATTTGCTCCCTTATAAGTCAGATAGTACATACTGCTCTCTACTAGTCTCTATTGTCAAAATCCACCACTTTATATTTTTTCTTAAATTCTCATCAGACAAAAATTTTAAGTCAATGTTATGTTATCCATTATTACGTTGAATTTAAAAAAATAGCTAACCTGATTACGTAGAAGATGGTTTACAGGACAAAGGGAAATAAAAAACCATTAAATTCCTGGCGACGTTTCGATACTTTTATTGTATCTTCTTCAGGCTACAATATAGTCGTTTAGTTTTCATGTATAGTTAGAAAATTTGACCTAAGATTTTTTTGTTAAAGCTCCCAAAACACGAATTCACACCTCTTACTAATTAAAAAAATTTCGTTACCATAGTAACCAATTTTATTTTTTAGTAGGCAAAAACTATTTTTGGGGACTGAGTACCTAAAATAACCGTTTTGCGTACTATTTTATTGAGTCCGGAAAAGACTCATTTTAGGGACTCAAATCATCCCTAAAACAACTGTTTTCGGGAGCGTATACAAAAAAAAATAATGATGTGATTTAGAACTTCTGAATTCGTCGAGAAAGTTACTTTACAATGACATAATTAAGGTACTGCAATAATATATTCTTCAGTTTTATCTTAGATGTTGAGAGTTTCTATTGTTATTAAATCAAATCTTCAAAATATTTTATTGAATGATTATATCAAATCTTCAAAATATTTTGTTGAATCATTTACAAACACTTGATAAGTGCCAAAAATGACCATTATTTACAAATAAAAAAAGTTAAGTATGTTATCTTACTTCAAATCTATAAAAATCTGATATATATCTCAACAGTTCAAAGTATGCAATTGTAATCAAAAAATCATAACACATAAAAGAAAAAAGTACGTCGATAAGATTTCATTGTAGATGTTATTTATTTAGAGTTTCAACTGCCTCGTAGGTAAATCACAATGGCTGTTCAAAAAAAACTGGCAACCATCTTCCTCCTCACGAGTATTTTCTATGGACATGGGTTGTCCACTGACTCAGACGTGGGACTGAATACAGTAAGTGTTTTTCCTAACTAAAGTCCCACTTTAACCATTTATGAAAGGTTGAAATAATAGAAAAGCATGGCTATGTGTGTGAAAACCACGACATAACAACCGAAGATGGTTACATCCTCACATTCCAAAGAATACCACATGGTAAAAACAACGATAATTCGACTAAAAGACCCGCAGTTTTTCTCATGCATGGTCTCACCTCATCGTCGGCGGAATCCGTCAATATGGGACCCAACAACAGCCTTGGTTTTATTTTAGCCGATATTGGATATGATGTTTGGCTTGGAAACGCTAGAGGCAACGCCTGGTCGCGCAAACACACAACTCTAGATGTAGAAGCAGATGCTGAGAAGTTTTTCGATTTCAGTTGGCATGAAATTGGGTACTACGATTTAGCAGCTGCTATTGATTACATCTTGGATCTCAACGGGGATGATAGTTTGTATTATGTAGGATTCTCTCAAGGTACTACTTCCTTCATGGCCTTGGCGTCCACTAGGCCAGAATATAACAGCAAAATCAAAGTTGCTTCACTTATGGGACCTGCCTCGTATATGAACCATCAAAGTGGTACACTTTTAATAGTACTTTCAAAGTATGTCAATGAGTTGGAGAAAATGTTCAACAAATACAAAATTTATGAAATACCGTATCTTAAACAACTTCGGAAATTTGCTTTAGATTTTTGTTCGAATCCCGATAATGTTGATACATGTGAGAATGTTATAGGCCTAATAGATGGAGAAGATAAAACGCAGATTGACTTCGTATGTTATAAAATAGTAATTATTTTGATTTTTCAAACGTTATTTTCAAGGAAAAATTTCCTGTAATTCTAACAAATGCACCATCAAATGCAGCCTTGAAACAGGTTGCTCACTATGGCCAACTTATCAAAAACGGTAAAATTATTTCTAGACTTAAAATACATTTAATAAAAAATATTTACTTAGGTGGATTTTCTCAGTACGACTTTGGTAAAGATAAGAACAACGAAATATATGGAACCGACTCACCCCCAGCTTATGATCTTTCAAAAATTTCAGCACCTGTGGCTGTTTATTATGGCAAAAATGACCAACTGGTGCCCTATTTGGTAATTCACTACAAATATGTGCTTATTGACAACACTTTAACTTAAAAATATTTCAGGATGCACAAACTGTAGTTAAGAAACTTGGAAATGTTGTTAATGATTATTTAGTACCATACGACCTTTTTGATCATTTGGACTTCATTTTTGCCAAAGATGTAGTAAAGTTGGTCTATGTAGAGCTAATTAAAGTAATGCAGAACTATTGAATAAATTTTTTTAATTTGATTGTTTTTTTTTTTTTTGAAATATCGTATATTGTATGGAACGGTCAAGTTTTGTCCTCTTAAGGATTTCCCTTGACGATGTTGATATTCGAAAATTAGTCCACTACTTACTATTTGTTGCTGGGAAAAAAGTTTAAAATTAATTACCTACCAAAAGTCTGGACGCTAAGATTTTTAAAACGAAACGAAAATAAAATAGCTTTACGTACTTGCCACAACATAAAAAAAATAAAGCTGCTGTGTCAGCCATACAATTACTTGAAAGATTCAAAAGTGTCACTCGAGGAAATACCAGCCACCAATATATTTAATATTGACGAGACAAATCTCTTTGATAATAAGATCGAAAAAGGGTAATTTTAAAAAGAGGTTCAAGAATCCAGAAAGAGTTAAAAACGTTTCGAAAAGTACAATTTCTATAATGTTTTGTGGAAGTGCTGATGCTGCAGGTAATACGGTTTCAGTCAGATAGGAATTGACATGGTATATATTCTTCAGTTTTATCTTAGATGTTGAGAGTTTCTATTGTTATTAAATCAAATCTTCAAAATATTTTGTTGTATCATTTACAAACACTTGATAAGTGCCAAAAATGACCATTATTTACAAATAAAATAAGTTAAGTATGTTATCTTACTTCAAATCTGTAAAAATCTGATATATATCTCAACAGTTCAAAGTGTGCAATTTTAATCGAAAAATCATAACACATAAAAGAAAAAAGTACGTCGATAAGATTCCATTGTAGATGTAACAAATTTATTTACAGTTTCTACTGCCTCGTTAGTAGGTAAACCACAATGACTGTTCAAAAAAAACTGACAACCATCTTCCTCCTCACGAGTATTTTCTACGGACATGGGTTGTCCACTGACTCAGACGTGGGACTGAATACAGTAAGTGTTTTTCCTAACTAAAATCCCATTTTAACCATTTATGAAAGGTTGAAATAATAGAAAAGCATGGCTATGTGTGTGAAAACCACGACATAACAACCGAAGATGGTTACATCCTCACATTCCAAAGAATACCATATGGTAAAAACAACGATAATTCGACTAAAAGACCCGCAGTTTTTCTCATGCATGGTCTCACCTCATCGTCGGCGGAATCCGTCAATATGGGACCCAACAACAGTCTTGGTTTTATTTTAGCCGATATTGGATATGATGTTTGGCTTGGAAACGCTAGAGGCAACGCCTGGTCGCGCAAACACACAACTCTAGATGTAGAAGCAGATGCTGAGAAGTTTTTCGATTTCAGTTGGCATGAAATTGGGTACTACGATTTAGCAGCTGCTATTGATTACATCTTGGATCTCAACGGGGATGATAGTTTGTATTATATAGGATTCTCTCAAGGTACTACTTCCTTCATGGCCTTGGCGTCCACTAGGCCAGAATATAACAGCAAAATAAAAGTTGCTTCACTTATGGGACCTGCCTCGTATATGGACCATCAAAGTGGTACACTTTTGGTAGTACTTTCAAAGTATATCAACGAGTTGGAGAAAATGTTCAAGAAATACAAAATTTATGAAATACCGTATCTTAAACAACTTCGGAAATTTGCTTTAGATTTTTGTTCGAATCCCGATAATGTTGATACATGTGAGGATGTTATAGGCCTAATAGATGGAGAAGATAAAACGCAGCTTGACTTCGTATGTTATAAAATAGTAATTATTTTGATTTTTCAAACGTTATTTTCAAGGAAAAATTTCCTGTATTTCTAACAAATGCACCATCAAACTCAGCCGTGAAACAGTTTGCTCACTATGGCCAACTTATCAAAAACGGTAAAACCATTAATATTTATAGACTTAAAATTAATTTAATAGAAAATATTTACTAAGGTGGATTTTCTCAGTACGACTTTGGTAAAGATAAGAACAACGAAATATATGGAACCGACACACCCCCAGCTTATGACCTATCAAAAATTTCAGCACCTGTGGCTGTTTATTATGGCAAAAATGACCAGCTGGTGCCCTATTTGGTAATTCACTACAAATATGTGCTTATTGAAAACACTTTAACTTAAAAATATTTCAGGATGCACAAACTGTAGTTAAGAAACTTGGAAATGTTGTTAATGATTATTTAGTACCAAACGACCTTTTTAATCATGTGGACTTCCTTACTGCCAAAGATGTAGTAAAGTTGGTCTATGTAGAGCTAATTAAAGTAATGCAGAACTATTGAATAAAATCTTCTACTTTGATTGTTTTTTTTTTGAAATATCGTACGTAATAATGCGAGGTGGAAAATGTATCAATACCCCGAAGGCGCATCTTCGAGATAATAAATAATAATATAATATATGTAAACAATAACATAACAATAACCAAAGTCACTAACTGATGATAATGAATATAGTATTGTAAGTAAGACTCACGTTTTGTCTTCTTCAGGATATTGACATTCAAAAATTAGTTAACTACTTCCTATCTGTTAAAAGCTGGGAAAAAAGTTACAGAGTTTAAAAATCATTAACTACCAAAAGACTGGACGCTAAGATGTTTAAAACGACACAAAAATTAAATAACTTTACGTACTTGCTAAAACGTAAAGAAAAATAAGACTGCTGTGTCAGCCAAAATAATCAACGATTACTTGAAAGACTCAAAAGTGTCCACCAATATATTTAACTTTGGCGAGACAAATCTCTTAGATAATTCAGGGTCGAAAAAGTGTAATTTTAAAAAGGGGTCAAGTATCCACCCACCATGGCAGTGTTAAAATAAATAATTATTTTTATAATAATAACTTGTAAAATAATATAAAAAGACAGTAATAAAAAAGACCCTACATTGGAAGTTCTGATAATGATGTTTGTCTAAAAATTTGTATTTCCAGTTAAATAGGAAGTGGGTTAATTTAAATAGAAAGCTAAGTTTTTGAATTCCCAGTTATTCTATGAGAGGTATCATCAATCTTCCATACATCAAAATACAGCTATTTTTGAGGTTTTTAGACTTTTAGAAAAATTTTAAATTTGAACCTTCCTCTTCAAAAATCTATCTAACTCTGCAATTTTTAACTATTATGAAATCGTATTTTGGAATTTAAAAGAGAAATGATCGACCTTTCTTTTGATGGATTCAGAATTAAAAAAATTAACGAATATCCAAAATTTAACGTTACGTTTGAGGAAAGTCAAATACTCATAAGTCAATTTGTTTAAATAAAAGGCTCCAAATTTTGTTCTCATTAAATGGAGAGCTCAAGCAGACATAACACTTTTTTAGTCATCAGAACCTAATTTTAACAGCTAATATAAAAAAAATAGTTTTTGTAATTTGTAATTGGACAACGGAAAGGGTCCGTGGGGCCACTTTCAGGCGCAGGTCCATGTTCCGTGGAACCCACGGAACCCTGCTCAGGACGCTATTGGTACCGGGTGTCCAATCTTAACCGCGAACATAGGAATTTAACATGGTATTGTCTATTTTTCCTGATTTCTATTCGCCAATACAACCTAGAAGTAAAGTACCTATCAAAAGATAAAATTATTTTGCGACAAATGATCCCATAAATAAGAATAAAAATGGTATACATTTCTAAATTGTCTAAGGTTATATTGGAGGTTCTTTTGTACAGAAATCAATCGTCTCACAATGGGTTTACTGCCACCATCATAAATTTACATTATTATTGTTGTAGTGGAATTATTATTTCTTTATCGGTATTTGCTATTAGTATTAGAGTTAAAATATTTTACTGGTTCAATGTAACCTTAGATCTTCTGGAAAAGTATATTTTTCATCAAAATACAATTTTCAAATTTATCAATACCTGAAATACAATTCATTTAGAGTTGAGTAAAAATGAATAATTACTCCAATGCAAAAAGGGCTTTCATGGACAAAACATATTTGATTTTCTTTATTACTTAATACTTTTTGTTGTTTCTAATTAAAACGAATTAATTTTTTTATTTCTTAGATACCTGTTTATTTTATTATCAAAGTAACTGGCAAAATACTAGTATTTAAAAATCGCATTCAACATTATTTTTCTATCAATTTTCAGACGCAACCCAAAATATATTCTCAAATACCACTATGTCTTAATATTAACTGTTTGACCTTATTAAAAACTTTGCCGAATGTTATTAAAAGTTACCACCACGCCGACTACATGGGCGGATGCACCCATTGAAATTTTGTAATGGGTGCCGGGCACCCATTGAAAACATTATCTCTTGCTTAAAACAAACAAAAATAATAACAATAACTCTTAACAATACTTGGAATTCCGTATTTAGTCTAATTTTTTTAGTAACGTTGCATTCTTTAAAACCACTTTTAATGTCAAAGAAGGGAAACTTCCTTCATTAATCAAGGAAGCTGTGGTTCTATCCAATCTCGAGGCTGCGCCCCCGAGGTAATGCCATATTTTTTACCTTGCATGTAATCTACGAATATTATTATGTAGGATATTTAAAGAAAAAAACAATTAAAGCACAAAATTTTATTCAATAGTTCTGCATTACTTTAAGTAGCTCTAAATAGAGCATATTTACTACATCTTTCGCAAAAAGAAAGTCCAAATGATCAAAAAGGTCGTATGGTACTAAATAATCATTAGCAACATTTCCAAGTTTTTTAATTACAGTCTGTGCATCCTGAAATATTTTTAAATTAAAGTGTTGTCAATAAGCACATATTTGTGGTGAATTACCAAATAGGGCACCAGTTGGTCATTTTTGCCATAATAAACAGCCACAGGTGCTGAAATTTTTGATAGGTCATAAGCTGGGGGTGTGTCGGTTCCATATATTTCATTGTTCTTATCTTTACCAAAGTCGTACTGAGAAAATCCACCTAAGTAAATATTTTTTATTAAATGTATTTTGAGTCTACAAATAATTTTACCGTTTTGGATAAGTTGGGCATAGTGAAGAAACTGTTTCAAGGCTGCGTTTGATGGTGCATTTGTTAGAATTACAGGAAATTTTTCCTTGAAAATAACAGTTAAAAAATCAAACTAATTACTATTTTATCACATACAAAGTCAAATTGCGGTTTATCTTCTCCGCCTATTAAGCCTATAACATCCTCACATATCTCAATATTATCGGCATTTGAACAAAAGTCCGAAGCAAATTTCCGAATTTGTTCAAGAAACGGTATTTCATATATTTTATATTTCTTTATCATTTTTTCCAACTCATTGACATACTTTGAAAGTACTACTAAAAGTGTAGTACGTTGATGGTCCATAAACGAGGCAGGACCCATAAGTGAGGCAACTTTTATTTTGCTGTTATATTCTGGCCTAGTGGAGGCCAAGACCATGAAGGAAGTAGTACCTTGAGAGTGTCCTATATAATACAAACTATCATCTCCGTTGACACCCAAAATGTAATCAATAGCAGCTGCTAGGTCGTAGTACCCAATTTCATGCCAACTGAAATCGAAAAACTTCTCAGCATCTGTTTCTATATCTAAAGTTGTGTGGTTGCGAGACCAGGCGTTTCCTCTAGCGTTTCCGAGCCAAACATCATATCCAATATCGGCTAAAATATAACCAAGACTGATGTTCGGCCCCATATTGACGTAATCCGCCGACGATGAGATGAGACCATGCATAAGTAAAACTGCAGGTCTTTTAGTCGAATTATCGTTGTTTTTACCATGTGGTATTCTTTGGAATGTTAGGATGTAACCATCTTCCGTTGTTATGTCATGGTTTTCACACACATAGCCATGCTTTTCTATCATTTCAACCTTTCGTAAATGGTTAAAATGAGACTTTAGTTAGGAAAAACACTTACTGTATTCAGTCCTACGTCCGAGTCAGTGGACACCTCATGTCCATAGAAAATACTCGTGAGGAACAAAATGGTTGCCAGTTTGGTTTGAACGGCCATTGTGGTTTATCTACTAATGAGGCAGTAGAAACACTAAACACATTTATAGAATCTACAATGGAATTTTATCGACTTGTTTTGCGTTTATTTATTATTGTTTGATCACACTGCACACTTTGAACTTTTGAAATATATCTCAGATATATCTCAGATTTTTACAGATTTGAAGTAAGAGATAACATACTCCTACTAAGTTTCTTTTTTGTCATGGTCATTATACCAATTAATTTATTTATCATGTGTTTGTAAATGATTCAACAAAATATTTTCTATTTTGGTGTCATAATGTGCATTTTGGCGACATTTTGTGCAATACTTTGATCATCACTGGCTATCATAGACTGTTGTTTTTAAGTGCGAAATTGTTGCAATTCAATGTATTTCACCAAAACTAATGCAATTTAAGTTTTATATGTAGACGGTTTAAAAATCTCAGCCTGTTAAACCATAAAACTCGTGTTGTCTTCAAGATTTTTTGCAACACTAATATTGAATCAGAAACATTACTAAATTCAGAAATCATTATAAAGAAGTATGTCAAAATTAACAAAAAATTTCCATCAGCGTATTTTATAGACTCATAAAATAGGTTGCTGTTGACAACGTACTTTATAGATGAAGAGTATTTTAACGGCAACATAAGAGGTAAGCTTAAATGCAATGTAGAAACAATATAAGGTATTAGTGTTGCAAAAATAGTATAAAAATACACAATGAGAGTGTTTGTAAAACTTGTTTTGAAACTCTTAATTTCTATGACAAAACTGAAAAATACCTTTGGAGAGCATTTTAGAGTGCATTGTAAAGTATACAGCTTTCTTAAGAAATTCAGAAGTTTTCCTTCGTTAAATTAGGAATTTCACTGACTTAATGAAATAATTTTTTGTAGCAAATTTAAGAAAAAATATTAATTTGTGGATTCAGACAGTAAGTAGAAGTTAAACGATGAATTTTATGCAATATTGTTTGGAAGAATATTAAGTGATAATTGAAAGGGTTGAAAATAACGAAGTCACATCTCCAATTTTTAATTTTGTTATACTTTATTGTCGTCGCAATATGTTTCGACAATCAACTGCCATCATCAGCATAAAGTTTTTTGTAAATTATATTAAATATTAAGTTAATGTCCCGACGACAACTTTACTTAAAAAAATTAAAATTAGAGATGTGACTTCGGTATATTCAACCTTTTTAATTATCACTTAATATTCATCGAATTAATATGGATCAAATTCATCGTTTCACTGTCTGAATCTACAAATTTAATTTTTTTTTTAATTCTCCTTAATGGACAAGATTTAAAGTAAGTTTTATTCCGTATTACCATCAATTTTTAACAAATTTTGGCATTAATTCAGTAAAATTCATAATTTAACGGTGTGACGTAAAACTTCTAAATTGAGTGCTGCACTCCAAAAAAAATCTGGTATTTTTCAGTTTTGTCAGAGATGTTGATAGTTACTATTGTTATTAAATAAAATATTTAAAATATTTTGTTGAATCATTTTCAAACACCTGATGATAAGTGCTAAAATTACCAATATTAACAAATAAATAAAACTTAGTATGTTATATCTTAGCTCAAATGTGTAAAAATCTACGATATAGGTACCTGAAAAGTTCAAAGTGTAATAAAAAGAAAAAAGAAAAAGTAAAAATAGGTCGATAAAATTACATTCTAGATGCTATAAATGTGTATGGAAACCACCACATAACAACCGAAGATGGTTACATCTTCACATTCCAAAGAATACCACATGGTAAAAACAACGATAATTCGACTAAAAGACCCCCAGTTTTTCTCATGCATGGTCTCACCTCATCGTCGCCGTAATCCGTCAATATGGGACCCAACAACAGTCTTAGTTATATTTTAGCCGATATTGGATATGATGTATGGCTTGCCTCGTATATGGACCATCACTTTTAGTAGTACTTTCAAATTATATCAACGAGTTGGAGAAATTGTTAAACAAATACAAAATATATGAAATACCGCTTCTTGAACAATTTCGAAAGTTTGCTGGGGGGATGATTTTTTCTTTATTAATAATAGGTGAAATCATCAGTAAATAATTCAATTTTGATCAGTGTAAAATGATAAATGAACAGTACCGTCAGCGGGGGTTACTTGCAACAGTTTTGACATTTAAATGTAATTTTTGAAAAAATAATGTTATGTAAAATAAAACTTTTGAGAACAAAAGTTCTGTCTTGATCTAGACTTTCGTTTCTCGGTAAAAGAATCTTGTCCTAATAAGTAGTTTTTTTGTTTTTGAAAAAAATATGGTTGTTGCAAGTTACCGGAAGTTGGGGGTAACTTCAAAATGTATTAATTTTACAGGTATTTTCATGAAAGACGATTGCTACAAGTAACTTGCAACACCATAAAATAAAATAAAAAAATGTAGTGTACTAATACTATATGAAATAAGACAGCAGTTTTTAGCAAAAATAATGTTTTTATTGATGAATGTAGAAAATAACAATAAATTCTTCACAACAATAGTCAATAGCACGGTTTCAAAAAAAAAGTAGGAAAATGAAATATAAATTCTCAAAAAAGTATATTGAGTCCTTATTTAAAAAAAAAAAATTCGTAGGTACTACTGATCAACATCAAATGTATATGTTTACTCCTACTAATAGTTTTACTTTTTTAGTAGTTTGACTTTTCTTTTTTCTGAGCGTGATCAATTATGTAAACAGATTATTTACATTAGAAAAAAAATATATTTGCGAAAGCTTTAGGCTTCCAATATTTTCTAAAAAAATCTGGTGTGAACATCACACGACTTTCCTTATCCCATTTATCTGGAAAACATCCTTAAGACAATAATTTAGTGTTGGAAATCCGAGTAGCAAACCTAACGTTTGCGTCAGTGCCACCTGACGGATTACACGCGAAATAGATGATAGATAGGCATGTTACGGTTGCAGAACAATTACTTAAAAACCAAAATTTCAGGACCCTTTTTTTAAAACTCGTGCATTTTGTTGCAAGTAATAAGTAACCATAGGTTTGCAAGTAACCTCCACTAACGGTAATTAATTAATTTTTGCACAGTAATAAATAAAAAATGATTAGTATAATCCTAAGTAAAGCACGCACAGTAAAAAAAATCCAAACCTTCAGTAACTTTAATCAAAATTAGTAAAATAACATAAAATTTAAGGAATTCAGTCTTGGTTAGATCGCAATGTATGGCTTCTGCGCAAAAATATTATTTATTATTGGAACTTATTGAATATTTATTATAATTGTAGAGTGGTATATGTATTAGCAAGGGCCCCTGCGCAAGAATGATTTTAACAAAGGCTGGAAACGCCCCTCTTTGCATTGCTGTGCTCCTGATAGTACTATTTCGTTTATGAACTAGGAAACATTTTGTTTGAAAATTTAAGTGGGATTAAATGGATTAGTTTTACTGGAAATTCCATTCATTGTCTTTACTGTGCATTTATTATTTTTTCCTACGACCATATACGGAACTAGATCATAACGCACAATTACATATTCGCGAAAATTGGCAATATCGTACGAGGTCGAAAACCTGTGCGATTTGTTTTCGCACTGTGTGTTAAAAATCTAACGCACAATTCACACTCGAATGTTTTGTATTTTTTCATTTAACGTATTTTTTTTGTATCTATTATAAAAAATAAATCGTTATTCAACGTATTTTTGTATCCATTATAAAAAATAAATCGTTATGAAAAAAAAAATTATTTATGGTCGTAGGAAAAATAGTGTACAAAACTTGCAGGAAAGTGTTTAACGCACTCGCGGTATTGCCTGCACTCGACTAACGCCTCGTACGCAACTTTCCCGCTTGTGCGTTATTTATCACTTTCCGTGCTCGTTATTTAATATACTATTACTGATCAAAATATACTCTGTGCATTTAATTTGTTTCCACGGATGATAATTTTGATTATCTCAGTGAAGTTATATAGGCAACCACTTATACACTCAAAATTAGTTTCATTTTAGCAAATAAAACAATATGTATCACAACTTTAGCATTTTCTTGTTGTTATTAGTTTATCAAAAGCTATGTAACTGACTTAAAATATTTTACTTACCTTTTCCTAAACTATTGTTCAAACTTTGAGGTTATGTTTTCCCCGATGAAAAACGTGAGCTTGAAAATTCGACAAAAAGTATTAGTGTTGATTCTAATTCACTAATTATTGTTACAAAACCACCCAAAGCCTCATAGTTACAGTATTGCTTATCAAGACTGAAGAAATTCACATAATAGTGTCATTTTTATTACTTTTGTCATCAATCATTCAACTTAGCAATGCTTTTCAATTTCAATTAAATTCTCCCGACTTCCATCCTTGGCGCATTTACGAAAAAATGTTCCGGATCAACCATCTTCTAAAACTAAAAAACGTTACAATCAAAATCCTCCAGAGATCTCCAGTTGAGGCTTCAAGATGTATAGGTAAGCTAAGAAGCATCCAGGTGGGTCCGAAATTTTTGTTATTTCCAGGCCTTCAACGGGTCCAGTTCATCCATCCGGCACGGTTCTATTCAAAAAGTAGCGACGATGGTGGCAAAAAGGTACAAGATGGTAAAGACAAAGCATGTGAAGAGAAAAAAACCCAAAAACAGCGTCCTAAATTGGTCCTAAGAGAATGTAAACCTGTTGATATCCATCCTTGCACGCCGCCCCCTCCTCCTCCACCATCGGTATCCCCCGAATATTTACATAAAGCACACTAAATGAAAATTTTGCAGAAATTGCCTCACATTAATCAGGAAGATTGCCCAGTCAAACCCACACTAGAAAGTGAATGTCCACAAGCTAAACAGGAACCGCCCCCAGAATGTCCACACGATGAGGGCAGCAAGTGGGATAATTACAAAAATGCCGTTCTAGTTGGGCTTTTAATAGCAGCAGCAACACTCGGAGCTGTACGTAGATTTTTAATTAACTTTATTTTCACAATAAGTTTTAGTTGTACTACGTTGGATACTTTGAAGATAAAACTAAACCGAAAAAACTTGTGGCGGTAAAGAAAAAGAAAGCAAAAAGAGCACCTGTTAAAGACCCTCCAACATCAAAAGATATCCCAAATCAAGTCCCTTATTTGTTGATCGGGGGTGGTACTGCGTCATTTGCGGCCTTTCGTGCAATCAAATCAGCTGATCCAACAGCAAAAGTAATTTTTTTGACTCAACTAAATGTTGTACTAACTAGAATCCAGGTTTTAGTTGTTACTAATGAATCATTTCACCCCTACATGCGACCCCCTTTATCAAAAGAAATGTGGTTCAATGAGGACGAAGAATCTGTTAAAAAGCTCATCTTTAAGCAATGGAATGGATCCGAACGAAAGTAAATTTCAACGTGACACAATTCATAAACTTAATAAATTTTTCTAGCCTTTATTACGAGCCTGAAGACTTTTATATTAAGTGTCAAGATTTATTAAAGAACGAAAATGGGGGCGTAGCCGTCGCTAGAGGCTACAAAGTGACTCGCCTTGATGTCATAAACCGAATCGCCTATCTCGAAGACGGCTACGCCATTGAATACAACAAGTGCCTAATCGCCACTGGGGCCACTCCCAAAATGCTCAACGTGTTCGAAGCCGCATGCGCCGACCCCCAAATCGACGAAAAAGTCAAACTTTTCCGCAACATCTACGACTTTGAAGAAGTCTACGACGCTTTCGAAGAGTCAAAATCCATCGCGATAGTCGGGGGAGGATTCCTCGGGAGTGAATTAGCGTGTGCTTTGGCTCGCAAAGGCAAAAGAAAAAAGAAAACTGTTTATCAACTTTTCCGCGAACACGGCAACATGGGGAAAATCCTGCCTGAATACTTGAGTTCTTGGACCACTAATAAAGTCCGCGCTGAAGGCGTCAACGTCGTGAACAACACTGAGGTCATCGGAGTGAAGCACGAAGAAGGCAAACTGGTTCTAATCTTAAGCGATGGTAAAATGATAAGAGTTGATAATGCCATTTTGGCCGTTGGTGTGGAACCGAATACGGATCTGGCCCAAAAGTCGGGTCTGGAAGTTGATCCGGAACTTGGGGGCTTCCTTGTCAATACTGAACTGATGGCCCGGTCTAACTTGTACATCGCTGGGGATTGCGCTTGTTTTTATGATGTTAAGTTGGGCCGCCGACGAGTGGAACATCATGATCATGCGGTGGTCACCGGACGTTTGGCTGGGGAGAATATGACAGGGGGCACTAAGCCCTATGTGCATCAAAGCATGTTTTGGTCTGATTTAGGGCCAGATGTTGGGTATGAAGCCATAGGAATAGTTGATTCGTCTTTACCCACAGTGGGGGTTTTTGCGAAAGCTTCTGATAAGGATACTCCCAAAGCTGTGGTTACTGAGACCGGTGAAGGGATCAGATCGAAAATGGAAGCACAGGAGCAGAAGACTGGGGACGAGACTGATCACAAAGAAGATAAAAAGGACAAGAAGGAGGATTACGGCAAAGGGATTATTTTTTATCTAAGGGATGATGTGGTTGTAGGGATTGTTCTATGGAATGTGTTTAATCGAATGTCGATTGCCAGGCAGGTACTAAAAGATGAGAGAAAATACGACGATTTGAATGAAGTGGCGAAGCTGTTTAACATTCACGAAGATTAACATTCCGGCAGTCGATTAATTTTAATTTGATAAGAAATTTAGACCGATTTGAGTTTGTTCAAATGTATATAGAAAGGATAAAAATACACATTTTTGTCAAAATTGCTGTATTATAACTTGTGCATATTGCGGTAACGTTTAGTAAGTTTCTCGATTAGGGGCATATGGTCGCTTAAACAAAACTCGCTCATGTCGCACATCTAAAAATCGATAATTGACTTAATAATTACTTACAAGATTATCATTTACGTCGAATATCTCTCGCAGTTGAGGTGAATGTGTGATTGTACAAATCCGGTCATTCAAATGTCGGAAGATAGCAACAAAGTAGTACAAAAGACACTCAACGGGGTACAAAACAGAGAATGCTAGGAAATTGCAAATTTCTCCAAAACGAAGGAAATTGAAGAAGCACTGATTGAGCCACGACTGGACCAGGATTTCAGGACCAATTCCTAAAATCTGATCTTTGGTTAGTAAGGCTCGGATTATATGCAAAATGCATATTGTAAGATTTCTATGCATATCTCATGTTTTTTGATTTAAATAAGTGAAATAAAAAATGCATATTTTGGCAACTTCGTGCTTATTTTAGGAGATATTGCATATTTGTGCATATTTTCTTCAAATTACAAATTTCCGATTAAAAATTTCAGTTCAAGTTAAAAGTTGGACAGTTTAAGAACAACAAAATATTTTAAAGAGAATCAATCGGTAATTCGTAAGCCGGACTCAAAAAATTAGTATCCTGCTGAGTGGTTCCTTTTTAAATTCCTTTTATACAGGGTGAATATAAAGTATCGAAATCATTTGTTTCCAAAAAATAATAATTAATATAAATTAATGTAATTAAAAAAATATCTTATTTTGAGAATAAAATTTTGTTTTGTTTTTGAGTTATTCCATTTTTATTGTCAAAATTGCAATTTTTACAGGCTGTTCAGTTTTTATTGTTACAAATTTAAAAAGGTGATAGAATATGGGAAACTTTTACCTTAAAATTGAATATCCTATTACCTGCTTAAATTTGTAACAATAAAAACGGAACATCCTGTATACAAAAAAAAATTAATTTAATATTAAGTAGATAGTTGTAATCTCTTAGATCATGACCTTCATGAGAAAAATATTTTTTTTTTGGTAGGTTGCCATTAAAAAAAATATTTGTAGTAAGTACTCAAAAACAAATAAAAATTTCGAAAAATTTTATTCTTGATAAAACATCTCATTTTTATAGTAGTTAATAATTCATCAATTAGTTTTGCAAAAAACGTTTGGTTTCATACTTTCTATTCACCTGGTATAAAACGAACTATGCGGATAAGTAGTTGCCTGCAAATTAATTTTAGCAAAATTGTTTAAAGTGATGTGATCTGAAAAGTACAGATTTCTTAAAAAGGCTTAAGGTTATTAAAATGGCTTGTCTTAGGCAAAACCAATTTATTTATGTTCTTTTGTTCATCGTGTGTAGTTCAAGATGCCGAAAATACAAAGTTTTGTGTACTCAAGGATAAAAATTTATCACAGCTTTGATTTTTTATTGTTAAAAGTTTTTCATATCGATGCATATTTAGCATATATTGGAGCATATTTTGTGAAAATACCTGCATATACAGGGTCACTAAAAAGTATGAATACAGTTAAAAATTATAAAAACTATTCATCAAAACTTATTGAAATTTGGTATATGCTCAAAAGTATTTAAATTCCCTCGCCTCATATGTTTATCAAATTTCTATCTCTATTTGCTCTGGGGATACAAAGCTAACTTGATTTTTTTTTAATGGCAAGAAGGGTCATATTTAATATTTTTAAGGAGAACATTTTTTTCTGAGTTCTGTATGTAACACATCCATACCTTATTTTAATCGAAACTTAAAAAAAATATCGAACTAATAAAATTTTTAAAAATGTAAAATTTTGTTAGCCTTGGAAATGTTCTCTTTATCTATCGTTAGCTCTTTGCCGCCTGAACTTTGACCAAAAAAAAATAAATAAAAGTTAATAATAATCATTAAAATAACATTTATTTTAACTGAAAAAAGACATTTTAATTTAAAAAAGCTTAAACACGAAATACATAATTTTTATGCTACAAACGATGTTCAAAATGATTCCCATTGACTTGAGAATTTCTATAAGCTCAGTTTCACTTAAATGTACCATTGTTAAACTAATTATTGCACACAAGTTTAATTTTTTTTTTGGCAGATCGCTAATAATAGCATTTTCAAAGCTAACTTAGTTTTACTTTTCCAGAATTACATTTTTAAATTTTTATTTTTTTTACGTTTTAATAAAAATAAAAGTGGGGCATATGTTACATCACAGAATTCAGAAAAAATGCTCTTTTAAAAATAATTAAATTAGACCCTACGTGCCATTAAAAAAAATCAAGTTAGCCTTGTATTTTGAAAATAAATGATGGTAGAGAATTAAAAAAGATCTCAGATGATAGAATTTGAACACTTCTGTTTCCTAAATTTCGACATGCTCTGTTAAACAGTTCTGAAAATATTTAGCTGTATCCATACTTTTTAGCGACCCTGTATATCGGCATATTTTACGAAATTTTCGTGTATATAATCCCAGCCTTATTGATTGGTGATCAATTCTACTTAATCGTACCTTCAAAGCTTGGTAACAAGAACAGTTCTCTTCTAAAACAACTGCAAAATGTTGATGGAAACCCTCTTGTAACATCTCATCAAACTCTTTGCCAAAAGTGGTCCAAATCAGTGACGTCACTTGCGTGTTTGTAAAATGAATTAAAATGGATTTGCACTGGTCCAAATTCCCGGAACACATTAGAAAAATTATTCCAACGAACCAATCAAAATTCGTGAAATTTTCCGGTTGGTGCCCAATAAAAGCTCGCGATTGTTTTATAAGAAAAATTAACTTTTCGGGGTGTTCCTTCTCTTGGAGTGGCTTTAGTAGTCCAGTTTTTAGTCCGTAACTGGAATAATTTGTAGTGAAAAAAATCAGAGCTGTGCTCAAATTTTACTCGATTATTAAAGAGACACCATAAAAGTCCTCGGGGTGTAACTGGTAGTAGACAGAGTCCGAAGGGGGCCATTGTAATTCGACTTTTCTGTAAACGTAAGTTTTGGGAATTTTTTCTAATAAAATGGCCAAGAGGGATGGCTGAAAAATTACGTTACTTAAGGATTTTTTGTTGTGTGCTTACATCAAAAATATTCAACGAATTCTTGAAGGACCTCCTCGCCTGCGACAACCAGCTAAAATTCCCGTTTGTTTCCTGCTCCAAAAATGCCCTAAATTCATTTTCCCCGCTTTTTTCCTGCTCTGGAATTTCGAAAACTGGTACACCAAATTCGGTTTCTTCGTTAACTGTCTTGTTTACGAACCCTACGTGTGTCATCGAAACTAAAATATTATTCCTCAAGCAACTCTCTGCATCGATAATGTTACTACATCTTGCAATTTCCTCCAATTTTTTCTGAAAACTCGCAAAAAGTGAAAGTAGTTTGAAAATTTCACACTCACTTGTATTTGATAATTAGTTTGTAAGTAGAGCAACAGATCTAAATTTGTAATTAATACTTTCATTGTTAACAATCCCAAATACTCCTCATGTGGCTCAATGGACTCGTTTAAACTTTTCTGTATTAGTTCAGACAGGGTAATACTCTTATCCTCACTTTCAGAGTCACTGTCATTGTCGGCGAACAACGCGACGACGCTTCTTGTGGTTAATTTAACAAGGAAAAGAAACAACACGAATTTGTTGGTGGAGTTTGAGTTAACAGTTTCGTCAGAAATCCAAATTTCTTCAAGGTAAGGATCAATAATTTGCCTTTCGTGTGTTTTTAAAAATTCAAAACCTAATTTGTCACTCCCGAGACGGTTTATAACCGTTTTCAAATTCTCAACTGGGGCACAACTAAATAAATCCGTGAAAATCTTATTATCCCAAGCAAAAATCTTCATTGTTCGTCGGAAATTTGTGCAAAAAAAATTAAACAAGGCAAGAAAAGTTCCCCTGATTTGAGTCGTGTGATTTATTTGATAAAATTCATTCATATTTTGAAGAAGTTTAGCCGGATTTCCGTGAAGAAGAGCCAAGGGGTGACTTTCGTAAATACAAAGACAAGAGTGCAATAAAATTTCAATGGTACCCAAATCCTGATTTAATTCATTTGTGTTTACATACATTTTGAGAAATAAAACGGTTAAATCGGTGATTTTTTGAGCAAGATTTGTGACATTTCGGATTACTTGTCGCTGTCTAGCTTTACGTAGTGTACCGGAAACTCCGAATAAAACCCGGTAATTCCCCGATTTTGCTATATTATTAATTATTGTAAAAATAAATTTATTCGTTTCTACTACATTTCGGACATTGTTTCGATTTGTGTCACTTAAAGGCGCAACCAAGACATCTAATAACTTGGGGGTAAGAATTAGAGGGTTGTATGTAAATAAATCAATAAAGAGTTGAGTCAATTCAGTTCTTTTTCCTTGACTTAATTTGGAAATTATTGCCTTAAAGCCCCCATCGATAAAACCTTCTTCTGGAAAGAACTTTGTATTGTTATTGTATCGCCAAAAATAAAGTAAAAAGTGTCCATAGTGAATTTCCCATTCTTCCTCGTTACTGTTAATCTTTTGCAAAAATGTCGTCGTAACATTTTTGATAAAATTGGATTTCTTCTCCTTTAAATTATTGAAAAAAATATTGCGAATATCAGCACCGTAACAAAAAACGCGGATCCAATTTGATTCCGGGTCTAAAACTCCAAACCAATCAAAAACTGTTTTGTAGGTGAGAACACCGATAAAAGCAAGAGTAATTTCATCAATAACACTGTGATTAGCATGCAATAAAAATTTCATAACGGCTTTTTGTGAGTCCAAAACAACTTTTAGACTTTGTAAAATCCTTATTTTATTGAAATCGATAAAATAACGACTGTTTAAAAGCAAGAAAGTGCCTCTGAGAAGATTCAAGTAGCTGTCGCATGAGGTGTTTGAAAGACGGTGATGGATTTTAAGAGTGCGTAAAAAAATGTTGTAATTAGCGCTTACAAAACATTTCCGTAAACTTTGCGATAACTCTTCCCAGAAAATTTGTTTGGTGTCTATATCGACATTTAGGAGTGTGTCGAGCACATTTAGTTTCTTTAAGGTTGAATTACTGTTGAGGCCTTCAATTATCGTACAATAATCGTTTTGGGTGAGGTCAACTCTCCAAGACTCGACATTGCGGTGTCTTTTTGCACTCTTCAAAATATCGTCTTCAATTGATTGTAAATCTAGTTTTTTAATGATTTCCGCTACATCGGGTGATTCACTTTCATTAATTAATTTGGAGAGTGGAACGTCAATTGTGTTATTAACTTTCTCTGTAATTAATCTGTGTAATAAATTGTCCATTTTTTGACGTCTGTTTGTTGACATGTCAAAACTCGTTGTCAAGGTGACCACAAGCGATGCCATATTAGGAAAGTTGAAATCCCTACACTTGTCAGTATTTTGTCTATAGTTGTTGGTAAACATTGAACAGCTGTGTTTTTGACGTTTTTTGGAGAATTTTCGAAATTTTCGTGTCTTTTTCAGAAAAATTAGGTAAGTGTTTATTTGATGTGAGTCGCGTGTGTATAAGTTTAACTCGATTCGGATGATTGAGTTTTTTCCCAATGCCAAGTTGCGACTTCCGTATTGCTCAATTCAAATCTTTTAATAGTACGACCCCTTTTTAGCAACGTGTCTCTCATTAAAAACTTGTAATGAGCAGCGAGAATACCGATGATAAAAAGTCGGGGGCTTCTGACCCTAAAGACACTGGAACGGGGCCTCGAATCCGCACGCAAAGTGAATGTTCAGTAACAAGCGACGATGGGGCCCAGTCCGGCTCAGGAAAACGGTAAAAACCCACTCAATGTCCATGCCCCGTTATAATCAAAATTCAGGCAAAGGACAACCTCTGCCCAATTCATGGTCTCCTCAGGCCTGACATCAGCATCGCCCCCTAAATTCGTGTCTTTGGAAGAAATAATGCAAGCGGCAAACGGGATGAAAGACATGGCGCTAGTGCACCAAATCGTCGTCGACGACGACTTCAAATTGCAAAAAGTGGAGCCTGAACCCAACACACTGCATAAAATGGTAAATGATACCATGCGAAAGGCCTTTTGGGACTTACTCCGGAATGAACTCAACGAAGATCCGCCGAGTTACACACAGGTAATTGCTTTGTTTGTCTTTCCTGACTCACCCAACCTACACTCAACCTTGGTCTGATCTTGAGAGTTGAATCACCTGATGTGTTTATGGCAGGCGCTGGTCCTCTTGGAGGATATCAAGAAAGGGTTATTTGCAGTCCTACTTCCGCAACACACTAAGATCAAACAACAAATATCCGAGATTTTAGATAGCGAATTGATTAAGCAACAGGCGGAAAATGGGGCTCTGGATTTTGGGGTGAATGGCAAAGCATTACGTCAAAACATTTTTCTTATTTTACTCTTGTAGCATTACGCTCAATACGTAATTTCTGTGATGTCGAAATTATGCGCACCAGTCAGGGATGAAAAAATTAAAGAGTTGACGCAGACTACGGATGTCATCGAGACTTTCAAAGGGATATTAGAGGTAAAATTATCAGTTGTTTAAATAAGTAAATATCTTATTTCTGTACCTCTGTCTCAAACAGCTCGATAACTTGAAAATTACTCGTAAAGCATTTTAATAGGTCGGAACTTTTAAGGTTTTTATAAGGCAGTACCTCTGCTGCCGGCAACGGTACCAAAAAAAAAATAGCGGGATGGCTGCCGGCGATTAGTTATCAGCTTTTGATTTTTCAACTACATATCATTAAAATATAGCAAGGAGACAGGTTTTTGGCCAGACATTTTTAAAACCTTTTACTTAACTTGTTTGCCTGTTTTTTGCAAGTCAAAGAAACAACTCCTCTTTTCCAAATAAGCTGATATTTTGCATACACACCTAATTTCCGTGACATTAATAACAATTCCACGTGAGTACAAAAAAAACACAAATTGATTTTTTTATAATGCAATTTGGCCTGTTAATAAATGCCCGTTTTTTTGAGGTTATCTTTGTCACAATTCACAGTTTCATAATTATCAGGCAGCTTCCAAACTTCTATCAAGTTTTTCCGTGTTTTTTAATTTCGTTTTTAATACTGACCATGACAAATACGACATTTCTTTAGATAGTTTTCTAAGCTATTTGGGAACAACCTTTTTCACACTATGTAAATCTCTGATTCTTTTGTTTTTGACAATTTGCGTTTTTTTGCACTCAAATGTACTTTAACTAATAATTTATAAACAATTAATAAATGTTATTAACTATCTCGGCTTTTAATACAAAGATGAAAGCAACTTCATTCGATAGACGAGAAAAAATATATATATACAGATTTATCAACAAGAAATTAGTGAAATTATAGAACGTTTCAAAATGATTGACATCTCGGCAGACGTTGAGACTCTAAACCAGACTTTAATTTTAGTTCCAAAAAAGTTACTAATGTGAACATTTTTTAGATCGCGATACGTCATAAAAATGACATTTCTGTTGAATTCTGTCTGAAAAAATAACATAAAGTACAAAAATAGAAGGTTGAGAATTGAATCGGGAAAAAAAACGATAAAATTGAAAATTAAAATAATAAATCTGAATTTTCTTGACCTACCGAGATGGCAATAATTTTGAAACGCGGTATACCACCTACTAGAGTTTTCAGAAGTAATTTTGAATGCTTAAGGTTGGTTACCCGTTGTTGTTGACGGTTGACGTATTCTGTCAACTACCAACATCATACAAGCTGACAGGTGACTTTAACTACATTTTTGTAGGTTTTTCATAAAGGAATTGAAACGACTGTAGTTCAATATGTGAGTTATTATCTACATATTTTGACCAAATAAACCAAAAAAGTGAAATTAGCGACAAAACCTAAAAAATTCTTTGCCGGCAGCGGAGGTACTACCTTTTTTAAAAAACTCGATATTTTGAAAACTACTCGATATAGAACATTTTATTCGGTCGTATCGTGTTTTTACATCTAAAAATCATATTTTTGGGACGGTCGACGATTTTTACAAATTTCTAGGGATTCACAGAGATTTAAAAAAAATCAGTAATGTTAACAGGGTGCGCCAGAACTCGTGCCCCAGAGAAAAATTTCAAGTAAGATAAGATACCAGGAACATGAAAAAAATGTTTAAAAAATTCTGTCAAAAAATTTTGCCATAATTTTTTTTTGACATTTTACATTTTTTTATGTCTATTTAATGATACTGATGATCTTGTATATGTTTTTTTTACAATTATTTAGTAAAGGTACAAAAATAAAAGCCACAAATAACATTGAACAGAGTTACAATTTAGGCTACAGCTTCCTTGTTTCCTCTTTTAATAGCCTATAGCAAAAAAACTTGGAAAATTATTTTTTGAACAGAAATAAATAAAGTCAAAGTGCAAAATTTTAAATTTCTTTAATATATTGTTATGTAAAATCGAAAGCCTAAATACAAATATATAAGTAAAAATTACAAAACAAAAATTTTGGCTAATAAGGCGGACTCTGAGAAGGTGCCCCGAATGCTAGCAGCATTTCCACGTTGAATTGCAAGGGAAATCTTCTCAAAATTTAAAATTCAAAATTTAAACTCTTATAACTTCGAAATTTTTATAGATCATTTTTTTTCCATGTTCGTGGTATCTTACTTTATGTGGCATTTTCCTCTGGGGCGCGAGTTTTGGCGCACCTTGTATACAGGCTGTGTCAGAACTCGCCCCCAGAGAAAAATTTCAAGTAACATAAAATACCAGGAACATGGAAAAAATGTTTAAAATATTCAATCTGTCAAAAAATTTTGACAGTTATTTTTTGACATATGACATTTTTATGTCTATTTAATTTAAACTGATGATCTTATATGTTTTTTTTTATAATTAACTAATAAAGGTACAAAAATTTTGCCAATAAAAGTCATGAACAGAAAAAAAAAAGAAAAACAGAATTACAATTTAGGAAACAGCTTCCTTGTTTCCTCTTGTAATAGCCTGTAGCAAAAAAACTTGGAAAAATTTTTTACAACAAAGATAAGTGGAGTCAAAGTGCGAAATTTAAACTCTCATAACTTCGCAATTTTTATAGATAGAATTTTTTTAACATTTTTTCCATGTTCCTGGTATCTTACCTTACATGCGCACCCTGTATCGTTCTTCGAATCTCTAAGAGCTCAACTTCTCGGTTTCTGGAGTTTTCGGTTTTCCCAATTTCTTTGTTAAGAATCCGTTTTTAAGACTAAACAAAATTCTTGTGAAATTTTCACAAATAAAAGACTAATTGAAAATGTAGACTTTAGATCTGATGAAGTTGGATATGGCGAATTTCACTATACAAGTGGTTCGTCCGGACATAATCGCACACAGCGTGGAATTGGAGCGAAAAAAATTCGCCGATTTCCTGGCTGTTCAAAGCGACGGTCTCGAGCGCACCAAGAAATGGATGCTCAAGCACGTGGACACCACGGAACAGCCCCCTGCCAACCCGGCTGCGTACGATTCGTTCATCAAAACCGTGATGAAAAAGGCATCTTGGGACGCCTTTATCGATTTGATGGATTGGGAAGAGAACGAGCCGTACCCGGAGGTAATTCAGTGATTGGTCATTTGAATTTTTGTTTGATCAGTCTATTCTTTCTCAGACTTTTATGATCGATGAGGCGCGCTTGAGGGACTTGCAAGTGAAAACGAATCGATTGACAGCAATCGGGACCATTTTATTGGTGACATTAAGCAATGCAGGTCCGGACTTGCAATCAATCGCAGAGTTCAAAGCTTCCCTCAAAGACCACATTTCGATTCTACTCCAATCTATTAAAAATGACAAGTAATCTGTGTGTGAGTGCGTTACGTTTTGTAATGGGGTTTTGTAGGGATCTGAAACAAGTCTTGCCGAATGTGGCCGAACAGGTGATCTGTGATGTCAAAGAAGCACAAAAGAAATATAATATTAACGTGATGAATGATGTGAATGAGGCGGCTTTGCGACAGCAAATTGAACAAATCAGTAATGAGGAGCACAAGATACGATCTCTAGTTCGTAAGTGGATTTAATATGTGATTATTTAGGGTAATAATTTGGGTTGTAGGTCAACGGATTAAAGAATTCTTCATGGATATTATCGAGTCTTCAACTGCAGCACCGCAAAAAGTGCCTTCAGGATTGAGTTCTCTTCAGAGGGAGCTAGCAGCTATTGCAGGACAATTTCTGCGAATCGTCTCACACAATAATACAGTTTTCTGCATTTACTATTACAATATTGTAGCGGCGGCATTACCTAAACCAGCTAATTAAACTGATTTCGCATTCTCTATTTCATTTTATTGGCTAGAATAATTTAATACTTAATCTGAGTGGAAACTGTTGTGATAAAATTGTAGTCAACTCAGCCACAAAGTGGCGCAATTTATTAACACTTCACTATTTGTTGTGATACTGACCTTTGTATGTATGAAACAGTAACTAGATTTGTTTAACAAGCGACGGAGAAAATATTCTATTCCAAAGTAGTTTTTTAGTATATTTTACGCAAAAACACATGTATCTCTAGTTATTAAAAAAATGAAAACTAAGTTGGCTTTCAATAAATGATCAAATAAAATCTTTGATTTCCTGCTATAAGTACCTACCTTTTACCAATGACGAAAATATTAATTTTTGCAAGTTTTTTTTTCAATTTATCCATCCAGTCAAACTGTAATGGCACCAACTTTAAAAACTTAATTTTACTAGACTGAATGTCTAGGGTGTAGTTCATTGTTGGCATTACAACATTTGAACATTTACTACGCCTTTAAGTCATAAGCAAAGACACGATAGTCATTGACTTTTTAAATACAAAAAAAATTGAAAGATTTTTATATTATTTATGAAAAAATGTCGAATGTGCAAAAATGCAGTTGGTCAAAAATTTCTGGTTCTAATAACATTCGATTTTGTGTAGAACTGTCGAAAGTTTGATTTGTTCAATCTGGTGGTGCTCAAATCACCCCATTGATGTTGCAATTTTGAAAAAGTGCGCCAAAATTTGGCGCAATTTAATTGGTTAGTAAAAGTCTACCGATAGAGGTCCGTAATGGGCACCCAGTATGTTTGTAAACTGGGTTTTTCTATAATTTTGTGAAAATACCGAAATCTCTTGTAAAAATATCTCGAAAGAGTCGTTTTTCCGTTCCGTGCGCTTTATTTCAGTCCATAACATAATATTTTTTTAGTGTGACTTGTGTACATTTCAATTTTTTTGAGTGACAATAGGGGTTAGGTTACCCTTGCGGCCTTATTGAAACCGTAAGATATGAGTGTGCTCACCCGAATCAAGTTTCCAACATGTGAAAAGCATGGTTTTACATGTCTCCCATAATAAAGAAGAGGTAATTTTGCTCGATTCCACGTATTCCAGACAGATGACCTATAAAAATATCCGTTTAGGGTTGAAACTTTTACAAAATGTCATGTTTCAACTACTTGTCAGATTCATTTCAAACAAGATTTTAATACCACTTTTATTCAGTTATATAAATAGTTGGTTATGTTTATTTTCAGATTGTTCATTCTCAAATGTTCCATCAACTGTGTGAAACGAAAATGTGGCAAGCTGAATGTTTATATTGAGTTTTCACAAAGATGCAAAGCCTGGAGGGAGCATGTGAGGAGGGTGAAGTAAGTAGCCAATGTTTCTTCCACTCAGGGCACATTTAATGTCATTTTTCATCCAGCATACAATAAAGAAAATTAAGACTAGTCGCTCCTCCTTGCCTCTGCTTCACCACCAGGAAACATCAGAAGTATTAGACCATTGCACCACACCACAAACTTTCTGTATATTCACAAAAATCCTTGAATTACACAGGGAAGAATGTGCTAAAGACAACAATAGTGGGAATAAACCAGTATGTTTCTTTCTTAATAACCTATAATATTTCCCTTTATTGGTCATTTTTAGGGTTTAAGAAGAAATTCACACATTTTAGAAAAACTTGTAGCGAGAGAAAGACTGAACACGTTGATTCTAAACTTGTATCCTGGAAATAAAGGTTACTCCCTGGCTTTTAGAACCACTTCAAGAACTAACCAAATTATGGATGATACTGCCAACATGATTGAAACTAAACAGTGGCCTTATGACGAGGACGAACTTCTTAGATACATAAATAATGAAGAACTTCCCCCTTACCTCACTGATCTGATAGAAACCCATTACAGTTTTCTTTTTTATAACGGTTGTGTTATAGCAGAAGTCAGGGATTACCGACAGTCGTATCCTGAAACCACATGTGATATTCACCATGTTCTACTCAGGCCTACACTCAAGGTAAACAAGAACCAAGTTGTTTTTCTATTCATATATTTGTAAAATTCAATAGAGTCTTCTTGCTGACATAAATAACCTAGTGGACGACAAGGTAGACTTGGGAAATGAGGAGAGACAGCAGTTAGAAAGCCAAATATTACTAGCAAACAAACCGAGCTTATGCCTCGACCCGGACAATTCCATTAGTTCAACTCAGTCGCGTATAAATCACAACCGTCAAATGTGGAACACTCACAGATTTCGACACGAGGCTCGTAAATTCTCTCAAGTCACTGTGAATCGCAAACGAAAACTGGATCAGTTCACCCAACGGCCCGGCCTCGAATTGTACGATTTCTTGACGCGAGCGAAGACGAAATCAAAGACTGGAAATTCAGTCAGTAAATCGAACAAAAAGCCTCAAAACGAGATGAAACCAATTCCTGTTCCAAATCTCGATCCTCCGCCAATCGGTCCTCCTTCACAAGGCGTGTTCATTAACGAGTTCAAGACTTACCAACGTCCCAAAGAAACCAGCGACTGTTTACCTCAACTCATCGAAGAGTACGTTTTGGAGACGAATATGCCGTCGAAAGAAAAAGGCAAACAAAGGGTGTATCATATCAAGTTGTCCATCCTTCAAAGGCCGTCGAATTCCGAATATTTAGGAGAGCTTTATTTAGATAGGGACCACAAGAAAAATGAACGGAATGGAGTAGCTTGTAGATTTTCGTTAGGATCTCGGGCGAATGCAAACCGATATATTCACCAATTTACGGAGATTTTCACTGAAAGTGGGAGGAAGTCGGTTAGGATATGGTACGGGTTGAGTCCGGGGTACAAGGAGAGGGTGGCTATGGCGCAAGCACAGGCACAGGTGACTTAAACTTGAATCGATTCTTTTTTTTAACAATTTTTTTCTAACAGGCTCAGAACGCTGCTCAAACGAATTTAGCACAACAACATCTGACTCAGTTGAGTCAAACGTTGCAGAATCAGTCGTGCGTCACGTCTCCACTTGTCAATGGAACTGTCGGTTCTAGAATTAGTTTAGTGCAACAAAATCAAAGTATTCAAAATACCTCAACTGTTCCGATTTTGGTAAATCTCATCCATTGACTTGATTTTATTTTAATACTTGTGTAGCAGAGTCACCTGCAAGGGACTACACAAATTAAATCAACATCACAAGTTTCCAATGAAGAGCTCGCGACAAAACTCATGAATATAGATCAACAAATTCATGCAGCAGGTTGGTATCGCTTCACATTTTCTTGTTTCGGACTGGATGCGGTTTTCGACTTGATACAGTCGAACAAAGTGAAAATGACGTCTCAATAAGCCAGACCCTTGCAGGATCGCAAACTAGACTTAGTTTCAAGCGAATTTAAAATTTAATTCAGAATTAAACTAATTCTGAATTAATTATGTTGCAATTTTTTTGCATTGACGTCAATTTAAATGAAAATATATACAGGGTGCGCCAGAACTCGCTCCCCAGAGAAAATTTTCAAGTAAGGTAAGATACCAGGAACATGAAAAAAATGTTTAAAAAATTCTGTCAAAAAACTTTGCCATAATTTTTTTTTGACATTTTACATTTTTTTATGTCTATTTAATGATACTGATGATCTTGTATATGTTTTTTTACAATTATTTAGTAAAGGTACAAAAATAAAAGCCACAAATAACATTGAACAGAGTTACAATTTAGGCTACAGCTTCCTTGTTTCCTCTTTTAATAGCCTATAGCAAAAAAACTTGTAAAATTATTTTTCCAACAGAAATAAATAAAGTCAAAAAGCAAACTTTAAACCCTCATAACTTCGAAATTTTTATAGATAATTTTTTTTAACATTTTTTCCATGTTGCTGGTATCTTACCTTATATGACATTTTTCTCTGGGGCGCGAGTTCTGGCGCACCCTGTATATTTTTTTAATGAAAAATTATTTAACAAACATTGACGGAAAATTGAAAAAAAAATAAAATTATAATTTTCACAAAATAGTTTGACAAATCTAATATAAACTGATT